TGTATCCACTGTTAAGGGATCAGACCAAGGGTCATTCATGCCAGGTAAAGGACTACCCTACCGCTGAGCTTTACCTAGTCTTGGCTTTTATTTCCTTATGCTCTACATGTCACTATGTATGTTAACAGGCCAACATTTTGGGGGGCATCTTCTGACTCATAGAAAATTAGTCTAGTCTCGCTTCTCTTAGCCTCCATGTTGCTGATATTTAATTCCCAGAGTTGGTGTCTGAGACCATTCCCCAAAGCATCAGCAGTTTGTCTTGCTCGGTCTTTTTTTTTTTTTGGAGATGTGTTATCCAGACTGGTTTTGAGCTCATAGTTCTGTTTCAGTCCTCCAAATAGCTGGGATTGCAAGTGTGCATCATCGTTGGTCACCATTTATAATCTTAAGTATTTTGTGTTTGAAAAAAAATTGGGGGTGGGGATGGGACCGGGCTGAGACAGACAGAATCTCACTGTGTGGTCCTGACTGATATGGAATTTGATTTGTAGAGCAGGCTGACTGAATTCACAAAGATCCACCTGCCTCTGCCTCCTGAGTGCTGGGATTAAAAGCATACACCATCATACCCAGCCTGTATTTGGTGAAATTTAGCAGATTTGATTATAAAATCCAACTCATGGGATGGGGGTAGGGATAATTAGTGGTAGAGTACTTGTTTATGTAGCATTCTGAAGCCCTGACTTGTATACCTGGAACTCTAAAAGAGAAAACAGAAGGAATTGCCACTGCCCCCCAAAAAGGATGGAGAGCATCTCCATTCTGCCAGAGTTTTTCCATGTTTCTCATTCTGTCTTTTTCTGTGCTCAGCAATGGCTTCCTGATGCCACCACCTGATTTTATTATAGGATCAGCTTTGCCTACATTTGCATCTTGTATGCAGGACCATCTAGTCAGGTGCCCTTTTGTGTCTGCTTTCTCTGGCAGTTTCTTTAAAATGTGTCCATGACATTGGGTAGACAGGTCTCTCCATCAGTATAAAGTGTGCGGTTTCTCAAATAGTTATTTTCTATTTTCACCAATAGAAGAGGTTCCAGTTCTCAGTCCTTTCAGCGTTTCTTATTTAGCTGAGCTGGGAGCTTTGTGCTTTCTTTGTTGCTCTCTTTCTCTTACCTATCTCTTCTCTGCCTCTTTTCCCACACAACAACTCTGTCACTGATTGTCTCCTAGTCTCACACTTTGAGGCTCATCTCAAATGTCACTTTGTTGTTTTGTGCAGGCTTGGTTTATAGGCCTATCCGTGGAGGTGAGAACATGGCTTCTCCATTTCTATTGACACCAGTTCCATGATTGAGAAGTTAGTAACGTGTCTGCCAATCTCATGATGCTTTTTTGTTTGCTTAAATTCTTTTTGTGTTAGTATTTTGTAATTTTATTCTAAAGGCATATGCCTATCTGTCGCTTTATTTGTTTTGAGAGGTTGCTCATGTCTGTGCATGTTCTTAGAAGTGCAGCAGAAGCCAGGGAGTGTTGTAGGCATCCTGCTCTATAACTGATGACTTACTCCCTTCAAACAGGGTCTCTCATTGAATCTGGAGCTTGCCATATGGGCTAGGGTAACAGAATTTGCCTGTCTCTGCCCACTCCCCACTTCTCAACACTGGCATCATAGGCACACATGGTCATGCCTAACTTTTACATGAGTGCCGGGCAGTCAAACTCAGATCCCTATGTTTGCACAGCACGCACTGGAATGCACTGAGCCGTCTTCCCAGCCCTTTCTTTAATTTTAGAAAATTCTCAGGAATGGTATATTTTTCTACGTGTCCTCAGCATGTCTCCATGCTCCCAGCAGATGCGTGTCAGGCTTAGAATTCTGTCTTCTACAGTCTTAGCTTTCCTTTCCTGTTGTCTGTCTTTTTAATTCTACTATCTGTTGTGAGCAGTTGTTTCAGACTTCTCAAGTGAGTACTTTTCTTTTCTGCTCTGTCTAATCTGATGGGCAGTGAATGGATTTCTGTGACTAGTTCCTACGTACCCCCACCCCCAGTGCATGTGTGCTGTGTGTGTTCTATGTGTGGCCGTGTCTGTGTGTGTGTGTGTGTGTGTGTGTGAGAGAGAGAGAGAGAGAGAGAGAGAGAGAGAGAGAGAGAGATCTTGACTGATACATAATGTCCTTTGACATGTTTGTAACCTGTGTTCATGGTACTGCCTGCTTATGTCTCATCCTGCTGGTTTGGTTTTTATTTTTAATCACTACTGAGTATTGTCTGGTGGCCTGTCTTCTGTGGTGTACAGCTTCCATTTCTATTCTCTCAGGCTTGGACATTTCAAATGCTCTCGTCTCTCTACTACCAGACAGTGCTCAGTGAGTGCTATTTCCTAATGGGCATGTGTGTATGCACAGGAGAATGTTTCCCAGTCTGAAAGGCAGATGTGTGTTGCCTGTCTCCTGAACTCTACCAGATCAACTTCCCAGAACAGCTGTATGGATTACATACCACCCCCAACCCCGGCGACAGCCCAAACCCGGTTCTGCTAGGGGTTTCTGTTTGACCTTCAAGAAATCGAGCAACTTCTCTGGGCTTTAGTCTTCTCATCAGTAAAGAGGATAATGTTAGTGTCTGCTAGGAAGAAAGGTCAGTGTCTGTCTCCTTGGGTGTTATGAGAATAAAATGAGTCATTATTTTGTAACAACATCATCACTACCTGTGAGCCACTTTGCTTGCCCTTCCTCTGCAGATTTCACTTTTTTTCCCTCTTAAGATTAGAGGAATTTGTTATATTTTCTAGTTACAAATTCTTTGATGCCTTTAAACTTTGTGGATGTTATCTCCCGTTTGTGAATCTTTGTAGAGAGCTCTGTTGATATCTATACACTGAAAATATGAGCCTCCTGTTTCTTTTAGGGCACTATTTAAGAAGTCTTTTCTTACCCCCACTTCAAAGGTCCCTCTGAAACTTTCTTCTGACCCTGTATACAGTTGCCTTTCTCACCCAGCTTTCCTCACGTGGTTTGTGGTGGTGAGCATCCTTTTGGGAGTTTTTCTGATTCTCTGTGGGAGTCTCTTTGCTTTGGATTATGAAAGTTTCCCAGCGTCTTCTGATGCATACCAGAGACAAGTTTTTGCGGTAATTTCTCAGATTGGGTTTCCTGTAAGACACAGAAAGCTTGCTGTGCCTGTGTGGCACGGGCCTGTGTGGTTCTCTGCGCCAGGTCTAGAAGACTAGCTGCTGCTGGCTGCTTCCTGGTGCTCGGCACTGCTTTAGCACGGGGGATGGGCCTGGGCCCTAGGCTTCATACAGGGCCTCAGTTCTCACTCCTTGTCTTCTGCCTGCTGGAAGCCACATTTCTTGCCTGCATTACTGCAGCGTCCTTCAAGTTCAGGGCCTGTACACGAGCTTGAATACTCCACGGGGCCCCTGGTCTCAACTCCCATTTACTATTCTAGCTTTGATTTTGATGTCTCTTTCATTTTCAGGTGCCTGGGGAATTTTTTTTTAACTTGACTATGTATTTTAAAAGCATTTTTATGGGTTTTATCCAGCACTTCTGTATGTCTGTAGTAGTAGAAAAGATGACTTTATATCACCTCAGTGTGCTGTTTTGCCAAAGGTCTATTCTGAAATTATCATTCCTGTTAGTTTTAGTTTTTTTTTAATTTTTAATATTGTCAGCTTATACACTGAGTAGCCCTTGCCTGTCCTTGATTGTTCTTGGCCATAACTACCTCCATCCTCCCTTTATTGTTCTAAGTTTATGACATTGCTAGTGTCTGTATACTCACTATGTAATACTGACTGCTCTTCCAAAGGACCCAGGTTCAATTCCCATCACCCACATGGTGGGTCACAACCACCTGTAACTCTCAGTTCAGAGGATTCAATGCTCTCTTCTGGCCGCCATGGGCACTGCAGACATGTAATGTAATTACGTATGCAGGCAAAACACCCATATAAATAACATAAATATAAACAAAAATCTTTGTTACTCTTTTATAAGAGATCCTGTATTGATCTGCCCAACTGTTTATTCATCAACTTATTACATTATTATTTCTTCTTGTTAATAAAAATATTAAATAGCTCGGCCACAAGATCACATAAGCAATGCTTAATTTTTTAAAATTTTTGCAACTTTTTCTTTTGCTCTAAGTACCATGAGATGGATGCAAATTCCCATGCTGTTCATGCTGCTGCTGTCACTCAGCGTTTAGAAACACAAAAGGATTTTCTCCCCTGTGGCTTTTGTGCAGCCCTGGCTGGCCTGGAATTGATATGTAGACTTGGGTGATCCCCTGCCTTCTCACTGCTGGGATTGTTGGCATGTGCCACCACAGACAGCCATGTACCTTTTTAGAACGTAAATGTTAAGATAGCCTGTACTCACATGGTAGGGCTAAATGCTCTCATGGGCTGGCCATCCTCTCTGAAGAAACTGAAACAGTTGTATGAATTAACAAACCCCAGGCACCATAGCACTGCTGAGGTGCGGAAACAAAGTCTACATTTCTTGGAAATGACTTTGTAACTTTTTAAAAAAAGATTTATGCTGTGTTCCAAGTATTTTGCTTGCATCTGTTTATGTGCCTTGTTTGTATCTGGTGCCTATGGAGGCCAGGTGAGGGCATTCATGCCTCTGGGACTAAAGTACAAGTGGTTATATAAGTCACCCTGAGGGAGAACTTGGGAATGTATGCAGGATGCCCTGGGTTCTTGGCCTTCACCAGTTCATCAGTCAGGGAACAGGTTTTCCTGACCTGTGCTTGTTGGAGAGAGACATTGGCACTGGGCCTCTGATCCTGGTGATCTTCTGTGTCTGCCTGGTACCCATCTTAGGGAAGATAGTGGTCTCTTTTCCAATCAAGGCTTTTCCATCATTCAGCTTTTTGACTATTGTGAGGATTGTGGTGCCTTATAAGCCATTCACGTGCACAGTGGAGCCTGGACTCTTGTTTCAGGAGTCAGGAAAAATAAAACTAGTGGTGGGTAAAAAGAGAATCAGCCTTGACTGTTTAACAAAGACAGCTACTGTTTCTCTCTCTTCTTATAAACAGAGGTTTCTCTACCCTTCTCTTACCTTCTGGAGATGCTACAATTTAACATCACTGTAGAATCCACAAACCCAAACCTGAGCTGCGTCCTCACTCCTTCAGAGACAGGTAATCCGGACCTTCCTTACCACACTAAGGCCCTGGGGTGTGTTTCTCTCTTTCTTTGTGCTCTTCCGTTCCTAAATCACTTGGACTCTCCTGTTTTCTGCCTCCACCTCTGGTGAAGACCCTTGTACTGTACCGCCTGTCTATCACACGACAGTTCACAAGTCAGTCAAGGGGCTAGAGATTGAAACACACTCAGACAGACACGGGTCATCCTTGAAATAAGAATGCCAATTTTATTGTGTTCCAGGGCAGCTTATATAGGGGATCTTTATTGGCTAATGGCCTTGCCCTAGCTCTCGGGATTTCCCAGCTGCAAGCCCACCAGAAACCACTCCCCTGCCATCAGGAACTCATGAGGGTCTCATGCTCAGAGCAGCTGCAAGCACAGGAAAACAAGTTGTTTACTCCGGCAGGCTAGGGGATCATAGAAAATTCAGGGTCTGAGGGTCTGCAATCCCCAACAGATCCTCATTGGTTTGCTTGGATCTTCTTTGATAATAGAATATGCCTTCAAAATTATCTTCTTTAGGGGCTGGAGAGATGGCTCAGTGGTTAAGAGCATTGCCTGCTCTTCCAAAGGTCCTGAGTTCAATTACCAGCAACCACATGGTGGCTCACAACCATCTGTAAAGAGGTCTGGTGCCCTCTTCCGGCCTGCAGGCATACACACAGACAGAATATTGTATACATAATAAATAAATAAAATAAATATTTAAAAAAATTATCTTCTTTAAATTCTATAGATACACTACTGATGTCAGGGGCATGGTGGTGCATACCTTTGATCCCAGCACTTGGGAGGCAGAGGCAGGTGGATGAATATGAGTTTGAGGTCAGCCTAGTCTACCAAGCAAGTTCCAGGACAGGTAGGGCTATTCAGAAATCCTGTTTCAAACCTCCACACCCCCACAAAAAAAAAAAAAAGAAGAGATACTAACTGAAATAACATATTTAAAGTACATCTTTGACCATGTTACTTTTTACTACAAATTCCTTCAGGATTTTTCTTTGCCTTTAAGAGAAAACCGAGTTCTTCCAAGTGGCCTATTCATCATACTGTGCTTCTCCAGACCCATCTCCTGACTCTTCCAGCCCCCACTTTATATTCTGCACCTGATCTTTTTATAACCTCCTCCACCCCAGTGTTCTTCCTGACCAAGAGGAAGCTTTCTTGCCTGTGTGCCTTCTACAACCTGCCCTGCACACACTAGCTTAGCATTAACCCTTCTGACTTCCTCATCTTTTAAGATGCAGGTCAAGGAGCTGGGGAGATGGCTCGGTGTGTAAATGTGCTTGTCACACACATGAGGACCTGAGTTTAAATCTCCAGAACTTACATAAAACTTGAATGTGTAGTGCATCTATACTCCAAGTCCTTCTATGGGAGATAGAAGGTGGAGACAGTAGAATACCTGGAAACTCATGGGCCAAGGAAGCTGATGTCCACATTCACACACATAAATATACATATATTGCGTGTGTACACATGTGCTCCTAGGTCAGCAAGGAAGGCAGTGCACTTAGAGCTGAGGGCAGAGGAGCAGAATGTAGATGAGGTTAGACAGCCAGTGACAGCTGGATTCTGAAGGGCTGGTACAGTTCATTATAAGAACCTTGACTTTGATCTGACACTGAAGCCATTTAAGGCATCTGTGCAAAGAAATGCCAGGTTCTGACTGTGTGTTATAAAAGATCACTCTGGCTGTTGAATAGAAGGTGGGGAAGGCAGAGGCGTGGAGATCAGCTATGAGATTATTGTAGAAATTTTGATAGATGGGAAATGGTATGTTAGGCTGGCCATGAAAGAATGAGAGGTGCTGGGATTTCCATATATTGAAGGTAGGGCAAGTGGGGTTTTCAAGGATTAGATCTAGTGTATGAAGATACACAGGTATCTATAGTTAACTATAGATTTTCTTTTGTTTGTTTTATTGTATGTGTATGAGTATTTAGTCTGCATGTATGTCTGTGTACCACATGAATGCCTGGTAGTCTTGGAGGCCAAAAGAAAGCACCAAATCCCCTGAAACTGGTGTTACAGGCAGTTGTGAGCTGCCACATAGGTGCTGGGAATCGAACCTGGGTCTTCTAGAAGAACAGCCAGTGCTCTTAACTATTGAGCCATCTCTCTAGCCCCATTATAGGGTTTTTGGTGTGAGCAGTTAGGATAGGTTTTCTGGAAAGTGGGGAAGATGACAGGGAGCTTTGGAGACATAGACATAGAAAGCTTTTAGGTTTCCGGTTGGAGACATTGAGAAGGAATACCGGGAAGCTGGTACACCAGATGTTAGAAGTGTATACCAGAAATTGAGAGGAGGCTCAAACTGGAGAAGTGATAAGGAATGCCCAACAAAGAATACAGGGAAGCCTGGCCAGTGAGTCAGCTGAAGCATGTGATGTGGGATTCCCCTCTGTATGCTGTGAATACCATTGGTTAATAAAGAACCTGCTTTGGGTCTATTGCAGGACAGAATAGGGCAAGGTGGGGGTTCCAGGCAGATAGAGGAGGAGAGAGTAGGCAGAGTCAAAGAGAAGCCATGTAGCCACCACAGGAGACAGAGGCCATCTGCCAGCCAGAACCTTATCTGTAGACCACAACCATGTGGCGATACACGGATGAATAGAAATGGGTTAATTTAAGATATAAGAGCTAACCAATACAAAGCATGAGCCAATAGACCATGTTGTTGTAGTAATACAATTTCTGTGTGATTATTTCGGATCTGGGTGCCCTGGAACAAACAAGCAGCCTCCATCTGCAAGCGTGAACCAGATGACACGTGTGTACAAGGGGAGAGTGATGATCCCTGCCCAGTGCTATGACAGCATGAGTATTGGGACATTGTATTTCCAGTCTGTGTCTATATGTCTGTCCGTCCTGCTTGCCAGCACTTTTGGGGGCAATTAAAGCTTCCAGATCAGCCTGTAGTGATGACAGGCCCTTCCATAGCTGGTTTTCCCTCCACTACTCTCTGGAATGGGGAAGGAAAGATGACTCCTAGAGTCACCATGAGGAGCAAGTGAGAACATGCATGCAGGGCACTAAGCAAGGTCCCTGCCTCTAACTAATCCCATAGGATTATTACTATAATTATTGCTAACTCAGGAGTCTTGGTGCCCTGACCCTCCCTGTTGAGCAACGAGTGAGTGCCCTTTGGCTTGTGAGTGAATTTGTCCACTACATCTTCCCTGAATGTCTGTGTGTTTGACGTAGTTCTTTGTGCATCTCTCTAGGGCTGAACCTCTCTAGGTGGAGTCTGGAGGGAGAGAGGAAGGAGTTGAGGCTGGAGCAACACCATGGATCTCCCCAACTACAGCCAGCAGCTGCTGCTGCAGCTTTACGCCCTGTGCAAGGAGCAGCGGTTCTGTGATTGCACTATTTCCATTGGCAACATCTACTTCAGGGCCCATAAGCTCGTCCTGGCAGCGGCCAGCCTCCTGTTTAAAACCTTGCTGGATAATACAGATGCCATCTCCATCGATGCATCAGTGGTGAGCCCCGAGGAGTTTGCCCTCTTGCTAGAAATGACATACACTGGCAAGCTCCCCGTGGGCAAGCACAACTTCTCCAAGATCATCTCCTTAGCTGATAGCTTGCAGATGTTTGATGTGGCTGTTGGTTGTAAAAACCTTCTGACCAACCTTGTAAACTGCTCTGTCCAGGGGCAGGTGGTAAGGGATATCTCGGTGCTGTCTTCAGAGGCAGGTGGCAAGGACTCAGAGAAGCCTCAAGTAGAAGTCATTTCTTCTGAAGGTCCTGGAGAGCCCTCTTCATCCCTGGAAGTTTCTACCGTGCCAGCAGGCCCCGAGAAAGCCAAGACCCAGGAAGTAACTCACGTGGCTACCCAAGAGATAAATTCAGATCCTCCCGTTGTTCAGGTGGCTACAGAAATCACAGGGGTGACTCCTCACACAGCCGAAGTTTGTTCCCCTTCTGTTGGACAGCTCCCAAGTCAGGCAGAGGAAACCAACACACAAGCAGGTAACCATCGTTTGATTTTGTTTCATTTCATTTAAATTTAAATTTAATTGAAATCCACACTTCTAGTGCCTTTACAGTATTTAATGGTTTTTACTTTTTGAAATTCTTTGTTTTGTGCCTGTTTGTTATTTTGAGACAAAGTCCCTCTATGGAGCCCTAGGTAGCTTGGAACTCACGGTGTAAGACCAAGTTGGCCTTGGCAATCCTCCTGCCTCTGCCTCCCAAGTGCTGGGATTACAGATATGTATCACCATGCCCTGCAAATTTTTGTTTCACTGATAGTTTTCAATACTAAGACAGCAGTGTCCTGTTGCTTCCCAAGCTGCCCAAGACCTCCACTAGACATGATGTGTAGAGAAAAAAGCCTTAAAATGCCGATGTCCTGCTTATTCGTGTGCTAGGTGGGGCAGTCTGGGACTGACAGTTCTCAACTGAAACTGCTTTTTCGTCGTTTTAAATAATAACGCCCTGTTTTGTTTCGCTCTGCTCTTCCTTCAGAGTGTGAGAGGAAGCAGGAGCAGCTGAATTTCCTGCTAGAACAGGAAAGTGTCTTCTCAAATGCAGTCTTGCTCACAGAGGACACACTGAAAAGACTGGAAGGATGCTCAGAGATTAAAAGCCCTCAGAAGGAGGTAGGTGCCTCTGAGCATCATTTGTCTGGACTCAACATCTCAGGAATCCAAGTCAATGTCCCTCACAGGGCAGAAATAGAAAAATGCAAAACTCCTAGGATTTCACTTTCCCTAATGAAATGACCTCCCTCCCTTTCCAAAGAAGGGTCTTGAAAGACCGCTAAGCAGTATACTTCCAAAAGGAAGTTGTATTTTGATCACCATGACAATTCAACTTTTTTTAAATCGGTTTTTTTTGTTGTTGTTTTGTTTTGAGAATCGCTCTGTAACCCAGACTGGCCTTGAACATCCTCCTGCTTCAGCCTCTAAGTGCTGGGATTTCAGGTGTGCACCATGGTGCCTTCCTTGTACCAAGCTTTCTTTTGAGCCACCAACCAACTCCCAAATCATGGCACAGAAACTTAGTAGTTATGAATGCTCAGCCTTAGCTTAGGCTTGTTTCTTGCTAGCTCTTTTAACTTAATTTAGCCTTTTTCTCTTCATCTATGTTTTACCTCAGGACTTTTTACCTTTTTTACTCCCTTCCTATCCCTCCCCCTTCTGTCCCCCTCTCTTCCCCTCCCCCCCCCCTTTTTAATTTTTTTGTGTGTTGGGGTTTATCATGGGTAAGAACTGTCACTGTCAAGGTATGCCCCTCCCACCCCTCTCTCTCTTTCATTTTACTTTCCTACTTCTTTTGTCTGGCTGGCCTGGCTGCATTGTGTCCCCTCCCTCCCAATCTTGTCGTTCTTTTTGCCTGAGCCTGGATTCCTCCTCTTACTTATTCAGCCCTGCCTATCCCTCTTCTGCCTCGCTATTTGCCATTCAACTGTTTATTAGACCAATTAGGTGTCTTAGGCAGGCAAGGTGAAACACAACACATCTTTACATAATTAAACAAGTACAGCATAAACAAACGCAACACACCTTTACCTAGTTAAAGTAATATGCCACAACATAAACAAGTGTAACACACCTTTACCTAGTTAAAGTAATATGCCACAACGTAAACAAGTGTAACACACCTTTACGTAGTTGAAGTAATATGCCACAACATAAACAAATGTAACAAACCTTTACCTAGTTGAAGTAATATGCCACAACAAGGTAGTGTCAGATAACCCCAAATCAGAGAGGTAGACAGCAGACACTCAAAACACATGCAGAAAGTGTTTAATAGAAACAGCAGATGGCATCACATGAGGAGTACACTGGCCCTTTCAGACATTAAAAACACAACGGTAGACTTTTTTTTAGTAACACTATGCTAAACTTGATACATAATTTATCACATTCAATCCTCATAGAAACAATGGGTCTATCTTTTGGTCCTGTTTTATGGTTGAAAATTCAAAGAGGTGAAAAAGCCTGATAAAGGCACAGAGCACGGAAGAGTTGTAGCCAGATGGAAAACCCAAGGCTTCTGACTTTGTGAGGTCTTGAGGATAGAGCACAGGGCCTACCTTGCGTGTCTTCTACTGCCAAGGACACCCTCAGCTCCAATTCTAACATTAGAGAGCTGCCCACTGAAGTATCCTGATTCTACCAGGGCGAAAGTGACCCATATGTGGAAACACGTTAGCAATCTCCTGACAGGAAGCTGCCAGATGGTTGTCATGCTGTTTCTTAGCTGCCCTTTTCTGTTTTCAGTAAGGCAAGTGAGACCCATCCCCACCTGTGCTCCGCACGCCTGACCCTGCAGGGTTCACTCCACAGGCACTTAGAAGCCCACCTGCTTCCTCTGGAGAACCCGCTGAGAGCTCGGCAGGGGGCTCCAGCAGACCGATCCATCTGATGGGGAATGCCAGAATGAGGGTCTCTGCTGCTGCAGCCTGCTGACTGCTAATTCTGTCAGTAAATGCCTATCAGCATTGCATTGTGTTCCTGACTCATTATAGGTTACATTTTAGAAAACAAATTCAAATTCAGTATTGATTTTAACCATATTAGTAAATACTTGGCCATAGTCATGAATCTCTGCCTTGAGAATACTTTGTACAAGGCTGGGTCAACCCTGATGTCTGTCTGGGTGCTGGTTTGGGGTGAGGTTCAAGTTGTAAATCCCTGTCACCCTTTGTCTGGTTGCTCTGAAGGACATTATGGTTTTATATTTTTTCACTTGCATATTCTCTTCACTGCTTAAGCCGTCACTTTTGTTGTTGGTTTGTTATCTTGATAACATCTAGACACGCCACTTCACTTTCTCCCTTAGGCTTTCTCTCCTTCCCATAGATCAGCAGTGCTCAGATGAGTAAAACTTGTGTTTATTTGAGTTGTGTCTTTGCCCTTTTTGGATAATGCTGTGCGTAGATGTGTTCATTGCAGAAGCCAGAGAAATGGCCCAGTGGTTAGAAACACTCACTACTTTTGCAGAGGATCTGGGTTCAGTTTTCTGTACCCACATGGAGGCTCACAATCATCCATAGATCTAGCATCTGTGGACACGATACAAAAACACAATGTACATACATGCAGGCAGAACACTCATGATACACATAAAAGAAAAATAAATTGCAAAAAATATATCTTTATGTGGGTCTGTTGAACGCTTCCTTTTTTCTTTCTTTCCTTTCTAATTCTTGTTCTGATCTTCTGATGGCAGTAGCTTTAAAAGTGCTTTAGAAGAGCCCTGAGTCACTGCTGGAGATCATTACAGGCTTGTGTTATTTCTTCCTCGATGTTAGAGGTCAGAGTACCAGCTTTAAAAATCACTTGGTGGCTGTATTTTAAACTGTCCATAATACATCTTTGGACTTCAGAGTGCAGATCTAAACAGTCTTTAAGAACATAAGATTAAATTAAATATAAGGGCAGAGAATGTAGCTCATGGTAGAAGTCTTGCCTAGTAAGCACAAGGCCCTCGGTTTGATTCCTATCACTGCAAAAAAAAAAAAGGGATTTACTGAGTTAGGGTTGGGAAGCCATCATATTTCCAGGATCTTCTGCTCTCATTTCTTTCAGCCAGCTTTAGAGAGGCATACTCGACTGTAGTACACTGTACACTTGAAGTGCACAATTCGGTAAGTTTTAATGTATGTCCAGAGACCATTATCACAGTCAAGGTAGACATGCAGCACCCCAAATCTCCTCATGGCCTTTGGAAATCCATCCCTCCATTCACCTATCCCTTACGTCAAGCAGCTTCAGTCTTTCCTATTCATAACCTGTTTTTGCTTGAGAAATTTTCTGTGACCCTGGGTATACAGGTATATAAAAAAAATATGCATATCCAACATTATTGATAATAAATCATCAAGAAATTTATTTTAAGCTAATTCTTTGATGTATATATAATTTCATCACTTATTATACACAAAAGCAGATTTGCATACTAATGAGATGAATGTCTATTTTTATGTAAAAAATCTGATACTACAGGATGCAGAGAGCATCTTCAGCATTTTCCAAGTTGATGAATACTTGGGCTTCACAGTTGTGACTGCACCGAGTGCTGCTTCACATAAAATGGCACAAGGGTGTTGAGGGCCATTTCAGAAAATATGTGAAATACTGTTCTAATCTCAAGATGAAATTCATTCAACCTTTTTTAAAAAAAATAAAATATGAGCCAACAATTTGAAAAATCAAGCATTCTAGCACAGTACAACCCCAAATGCACTAATTCAGTACTCACATGCTGAGAAATAATGGTAGAAAAATACTCAGTCTTTGCTTTCCCTAAACCATGTGTCTATGTAAGCAGAAAAAAACTTGGTGAAAGCAGTAAAACCCCTGTAGTTCCTAGAAGCAGTAGCCTTGACTGATTGCTGAGGTGCTTGAGGTAGCATCTGTGGCATGCCTGGCATGCCAGTGTGTGCAGAATAAATTGTACACACTGCGTTTAGAACCGAGACTTCAGTGAAGTCTTACTGTCAGACCAAGTGAGCACGGCCAGAAACTCCACAGATTTATTACCCATTTGATTTTAACTTTGATTTTCTTACTGTTGGATATTCAGAAACATTTTGTTGCCAAATCTTTTGTAATACCCCCCCCCCCATACACACACACTCAGTTATCTGATCCCAGTTGGGTCAGGCTCTAGGTAACTGCTGATTGGCTGTCTATTTAGATTAGCTTGTGTTTTCTAGAGTATTGCATAAATGGAGTCTGTGGGGGTCTGTTTCCTTACCATACTTTGTTGAGACTCATCTGTGCTATTGTATGTTCATTCCTTCTTGCTGGGTAATAATCCATTGCAATACTAATAGTTTATTTGCTCAGCTTGACTACTTCCTTGTGATCTTGAGCAACCTAGTCTTTTATAAGGTTTGGTTTCTTTATAAAATGGTAATGTCACCAGGCACCACCTTGTTGGGCCATTATGACGTAATTAAGATTATTTATATGGTATTCTCTATAAAATGCCAGGCACACAGCAGGAATTCAGTAGGTAGCAACTGCTGCCTTGATTTCTAATTACCTCAAGCTTGTTGGCCTAACCAGCCTCTGCCCCCTTTTCACTGAGTCTTTTAGAGGTCCCAGTGCTGTGTGCTTCACTCTGACTTGTGAGATGTTTGTGTGGCCCTAGGCCTAATCTATCGGGCATGTTTTCAGAGAAGTATCAACCTCTTGAGTGGAGGTAGCTTCCTGAACTGCAGGGGTGTTGGTCTTCCAGCAGTGGTGTGTTCCATATGGTCTGGGATACTTGTTAAGAAGGGAACCTCCAGAGAGTTTGATTCTTAAGTCATGGGAGAGCTTGGGAATCTGCCCTTAGCAGGTTTCTCAGGGCTGCCATCCAGGTGTCTGTGCCGTGAACCACATCTTGAGAATCACTGCTGAGGTTAATGACCTGCAGACTCCTACACTGCATGATGGCAGAGGACACGATGCCTGTGTCCTAAGAGGCTCTAGAGCAGCGGTTCTCAACCTTCCTAATGCTGTGATCCTTTAATACAGTTCCTCATGTTGTGGTCACCCCAACCATAAAATTATTGCGTTGCTACTTCATAACTAATTTGCTACTGTTATAAATTAGAATGTTTACATATGTCTACATATCTGTTTTCCAATGATCTTAGGCAACCCCTGTGGAAGGGGCTGCAACCCACAGGTTGAGAACCACTGCCATACTCTCCAGCTGTCACTCTGCTTGCCTTTGATTCAGCAGCTGTTCGGTGAGCCACTGGTATGAAACAGGCAACCCTGATCCCTATCATTGCGGATTACATCATGGTGAAAACATTGTTTCACAAGTATAGCCAGCTTCTGGGTGGGATCCTGCTGAAAGGTTTCCGTGATGAATGTATTCAAGAATTATTTCCCAGAGCAGCGTATTTTAAGCTCTAGTACAACTATAGGGTTTGACTTTTCTCATTGGCGTTGCTGTTTCTCCTGTTCTTAAATTTTTAGTTCCCAAGAAGTTTTAAATGTTTTATTGTTTTTGTTCTTGGGCTAATAATCATGATATAACTTGACACCATTAAAAGTATTCCCACTGTGTGTGTGCCATTTGAGGCCTTCTGCCACTGGTGAGTGGCATCGGGTTCTGGTTGAGACACACAGATCCAAGGCATACAGATGACATGGACTGAGTTCAGGGAGAGCTTGGGCTCCTGGTGTCCTGAAAGGTTTATCTCCCAAGCTACCTGATGCAAGGTGGCAAAGCCATTCCCTAAGTAATCATTGCTGAAATACAAGAGGCTGGGTGCTGGAACCCAGGGAAGCTCCACGGCCAGAACTGATCAGAGCAGGTCTGCTGGGGCTGGGGTGTGGGAGCATCTCCTGCCAAACTGTACACAGTCTAACTGCCACTGTCGTTAAAGAAAGCAATGGTGACTTTCTGGCTGAGTAAAACCTGTTTCAAGCCAGCCATATTTTCTTTCAGTGTGTGCTATACCTTTTCATTGTCTTCTTCCTTTATTCCTAGCCACGTCCCTGCTTTTAGTTAACTGTGTGTATAGCAAAGCGATCTTTGTCAGGAATAAGAAGCTAACTTCTCCACTATTGATTCCTAGGCTCTCTTATTTCACTTTTAAATTTGGTGTCTTAGAAAGACTCCCAGAGCTGAAGACTAGGTAGCGTTCATTCTCTTTCAGCTGCATTGCAAAGGCGAGCTAGTTTCCTCCTCTGTGAATCTGTTCTCAGTGGTGCTTTGCCTTGTGGTCCGGTGGGTGCAACTTTTTGTCGTAAGGACAGTGCTCACTGGCTAGGATAACCCTCTCATTCCCAGGTCTACAAGTCAGCTGGTATTTTCCAGATCTCCTCTGGACATCAAGTCTGGGACACACAGCTAGAGCTCTAGAAAGGCTTGCAGTTGTAGGGAAAGGCTCACACTTTGCGTGAGCATTCTGTACTACTGGTCTCTGTAGTAATCACACAGACTAAGAAGAATAGTGTACATATTGCTGTGTCCTACTCAGGGTTCAGTGACTGGTTGTGGTAGGTCTGGTAGCATCCAGTGCAGAGAGATTTAATGTATCCAGCGTTTTATTCAGACTACTCTACTTGCTGCCCTGTGACCTGAGGTAAGTTCCTTAGCCTCTCCAGTGCTTATCTAGATAGCAGAAGGAATGCCTCCTGGGACAGTGTGAGGAGTAAAGTAGACAGCAAGTCTACACTCAGTCCAGGATGGTATGGAACTATTATTTATGGTCTGTATCGCAGTTTATTTTTATTTATTTTGGTGTTAGCAATTGAGCAGGGCACACTCCCCCAGAGCTATACCCCAGCCTCATCTTTATCATTATTGCTGTCCCCCGACCCTCATCATGGATGGGAGGGTCTGAGCGCACAATACTGTCACCCAGACAAATGTGAAGGTCTTAGGGAGAAACAGTTGAGATAAGCAACAAAAAGGCTTGGGTGAAGGGACAGAGTAGATGCTTTTTCTGTGTTGTACAAGGAGAACTAACTGCCTCATTTTGAAATATGTCTACCTATATTTTACTCAGTAATTTTGACTACTTGCATGAACATGTGTTGACATGAGTTTACTGAAATACCTTTAACTCCTTACGAGTCAAAGAAGTAGTAGTGTTTGGTTAAAGAACTTGGCCCTAGTGACAAGGCTTTATTTTACTTGGGATCTTAGAGTTCTGTTACATGGTGACAGCCCTGCGCAATATATGGCACCCTCTTGGCACTCCTGTCTGGGCAGAGCTGCTGTTGCACTACAGAATGCCTGCAAGCCTGGAGTGCCAGCTCTGATGTGAATGCCCAGTAAGTGCTGGGGTGAAGAGCAGGGCCGCCCAGGCAGCTGACAGTTCCCTGCTTCTCCTCCCAGGTGGTCACCCAGCACCACTGCCGAGCAATGAAGTTAACAAATGTTTTAATTTCACCGCTGAGTAGTTCTGCAGAGGGAGAGACAGCAGATGAGAGCACTTCAGAAGCCTCTGCTGGTGAAAGCTCCATTCCCCTCAGCTCAGATGATAATGCCAGACACAGTGGATACCCAGAGAGAATGCAGACTATTCAGAGAGCCGTAGGTGAACAAAGGAAACAGCCTGGCCCGGGCTAGAATAAGGGGACTGTGCGGTATCGGTGAGAAAGGAAGGGAGGAAAAGGAAAACAGAGGAAGCAGTGTGTTTACTGAGGGAGTTGGGAGTGAAGAGTGACTGTGAGCCACCTCTTCTGTGTGAGGCATCACTGTAACATTCAGCAGCCTGGAAACAGCGAGTTCTTATTCTCAGATTCTGCAGGTCAGGAGTTCCTGGGTGGAACCTGGCTGGTCCCTGATTAGAGTCTCATGCTCAGAGCAGCTGCAGGCAAAGGGTCATAGAAAATTCAGGGTCTGGGAGTCCACAGTCCCCAATACCAGACAGAAAAGCATAGTAACCTAACTCCCAGAGGCACATCTCATTGCTTATGCCATAGTCTCTTCTTGAATAAGTCATGAGGTTCAGACCAAGGGTGGAGCTACCTGGAGGCAGAAGTCTGGGGAGCTGTTTTGCATGTTGACCCCAGGATCCCTATTACTATCAGTGAGGGATATTCTAAAGAGATGGTAGACCAACTACAAAAAGCATGAGAAGGTGAATTAATTTGGCCAAAGGGGATTTAAGCATTCACCTGATGTCTTTATTTCTTGTTCATTGTTTTTAAAGTAGATATTTGCCTAAGGTTAATGGAAATTATTTATAAAATCTTTATGTAGATTTTTAAAATGTGTGTGCACTTGCACACATGTGCCTGCAGAAGCCAGAGAGAAGGGACATCAGATCCCCTAGAACTGGAGTTACAGGTGATTATGGGTCCTGGAGCCTGAATTCTGGTCCTCTGCAAGAGCAGCAAGTGCTCTTAGCCAGAAGTGTAGATTATTAAACTAGGTTTTGTCCTAGTTTACTTTTAGAGATGACCAAAACCACAAGAAACCCCTTTAAAGGTTACTATAAGAAATATATATGCAACTATTATTTTTTATGTTTTGGTGACCTCATGTTTTTTTTTTTCAAAATAAACTGTGCTAAAAGAGAAATATTAATTCTACCTTTCCATTGGTCTTCCTCCCATTCACGTAAGAGATGGTCTATCAGATCAAAGAAAGGCATGTTCATTTTGTTTATCTTCCCACTGGGGTTGCTAATACTTTACTGTGATCTGAGAGAGTCCAGGTTGTGCCCTGAGACCTGGAGTCTAAGGCAGATCTCGCAGAGCTGTGTGGTGTAATACTGGTGTGGCTCTGCTCAGAAGAGGGCTGGAGATCGGAGCCTCTGCAGGATTGTCCGGGAAAGAAATAAGGGTTGACAGGAGGCTGGGGCCAGCCGAGCTGTGGAACAGTTTCTTGTCTCTTCAAAGCAATGTTTTAGACCAGTTTTAGATCCTGCTGTGGTTACGGATTTGGGAGAAAGCTGAAAGGGGCTGGCTACAAAGATGGGTTTTTAATCATAGTACTTCAGGGTCACCGATGTCAGGAAGTTATGATGCCAAGGCGGAGTGATGCCAAATGCTATTGTAAGGTCAGGCAACATGAGGTGAGAGGCAAGGCAGGCTGTGTGTGAGTTCCAGAAGAAACTTTGACACTTTTCGTTTCTGGAGTAGATGCAGCCATTACCATGGGGTAATTGATATGTGAATCACGTTCTCTGACAGCTGGCACCTATAAGCCAACACATTGTTAGCCTTATTACAGAATATATCTAAAAGTAATAAGGCCCGTGTCTTTCTAAATAGTCTATCATTCGGAATGTAAATGACTTAAAGTGTTCTTTTTTCCTAACTTGCAAGATTTTAATTGCATTCTCAAATAGTAAAATGACAGTTCGTTCAATTTGAAATTCAGATATCTTTGCCTGAGAAATATCCAGTGTCATAAGATTCAGAAAGGTCTAATTAGGCAAGAAGTGTGTTACATTTGTTAAAAATACACTGCACACCTACTATGTGGCAGGCTGTACTCGCTGAGGCTGTCGAGTCCTGGAAGTAGGATTGATGTCTTCCAGAAGTCTGAGGAGAAAGCAGCAAACAGCTACAGTATGTGTGTCCTTACAGAGGAGGACCAGCAGAGAGGAAGCAGACCTGTGGGGAGCCTAAGGAAGACGGTGTAGTGGGTGAAGGGCTGATGGAGAGATGTGAGGGTCAGGTTGTCAGAGCCCTCATGCCACACACAGAGTGTGTGGGTAATTAATCTCTTTCTCTTGGGCACCTGGTTCACAGGTCATAATAGAATGTCTCAAGGATGACGGAGGAGGCTCAGCATTCCAGAGAATCCTGGGCAAAGTGCATGATGGGAGCCTGGATGTGCAGGTGGTCTTGTCTCTGATCAGACTGTACCAGGAGTCCACACCTGCAGAGAAGGTGTCTCAGTCTCAGCCAGAAGGTAGGAGGGCATTCTGGCCACCTAGGTGACCCAGCTTTTACAGTTCCAGCCAGTGATGTGTGTTGTTGTTGGCTTTCATGTAGGTTCCTGTGCCATCCCAGAAGCTGCATGTTAAATGTGCACAGGCTACATGTGAGTCTCCATTTCAGCCCTCAGCAAACTGAGGCTACTGTCACTGTCCTCATGCCTTTCAAAAAGCCGAATGTCCAAAGCAGCGCATCAAGTGACTGGTTCGCTGCCAGCACTTAAAGGCTGAAGTTGCTCTCATTTGGGTTAGGTACAAAGCAGTGGCCTTGCCTACCAGAAGTTAACCTCTGGCTGGCTCTGAAGCTTTGTATTTCGACAGATAAATGAAACATTTTTCCTTTCATAGAGTTTAAACAGAATAATAAAGTATTTTTCTCTCCAAAAGTGATTCTGCATTCAGGTGCACCGAAGCTCTTTACTATTCCGTTAGATCTCTCTCGACAGACCACGCTGTCATTTTCTTCAAATTGACTAGCTTCTCTTGTGTGTCTCTAATTCCTTCTCCCCCAGGGAGCGCAGGGGAGGGAAAGACCTTGTCTGCTCTGTTACTGGAACACAAAGAGGACCTGATCCAGTGTGTAACACAGCTCAGACCTATTGTGGAGTTCCTGGAAACAGCCAAGGAGGAATTCCTGCCCGTCTCGGAAAAAAGGGTAACTGTGTCAAGCCTCTGCCCCCTTCTGAACTGCTGCAGAGCTTGCTCTAGTGCTCTGCTGCACGAGGTGCTTTTTGCCTTGCGATGTTTTGATACTTTCTGCATTGTAATCACCTTGGCTGATTGGAGGTTCCTGTCGCATGCTCCATCACATTTCTTGCCATAGCTTATACCGCGCACTTTGCAGCACATGGCCACTGGGCAGGTGGATGGGTAGATGACCCTACTGCTGCTGGGACTCTGACTACCAGAAGCTACTGTTGCAGGAGCTGAACGTTGTGGCACATTTGTAATTATGATGCTTTTCTTATTTACAGAAATGATACATGGTTAATAATGTAGATACAGAAGAAAACAGGGAAAAATAAATATTTAAAAAATTGAGAGGGTCCTGCTACAGCAGCATGTGGTTCTCTTTGTCTCTTTGGAGTCCTGGGATGAGGCAGCACAAACTCACGGCTCTTGTCTGCTACCACATGTCTCTATCTCCACTAAGGGATTGTGGAACACTGTTGTATTTTAATGGACATCCCATGACTCATTCACTCTTCCTGGGCATTTGTTGCCAATAATTTGGTATACTAAATGATGTTGTTGAGGACATCCTTGCAGGCTAAGCTCTGCAGACTTCTCAATATTATTTCCTTAGGGTAATTTTTAAATGAAATTTTAAAAGAGAATGTAAAAGTCTTCATGGACATTCTCAAATTGCCCTTCAGGAAGGTCACACGCCAGTTTATTCTCCCAACAGCTAGCTGCTAAAACCTCATAAAACTGCTGGCATGACTTCTTAGGGCAACTAGATAACTGTTTTTGTTGGGGTTATCGATTTCAACTTTGTGCTAAAAATATGTCTCTCTAGAAGGAAGGGTGGGGAGAGAGAACTTTCGTGGCATTACTTAAAACTGAGAGAATGCCCAAGAGAGATGGTTTCCGAACCATTGGTGTGATAGCACTGGGTTCATAGTGGGCTGGGTCCTAGATTCCCTCTGCCTGAGTCATCTTAGGTTAAATGTCCAGGCAGACAGACAGCTGGGGGAAGCGTCTAATCTCAGAAGTGTATTTTGGAAATTGATGTTTTAAAGTTCTGTAAAATTCATAGACAATGCTAATATGGTGGGGAATGAACTCGTGTTTTCCTCCTGAGGTTACCGATTAGGTGTAATCTTGGGCACTCAATTTCAGTGAGTTCTTATGGCCCCAGAAGCCTCTGATTCCCTGTTGAGAGATTTTATTCGATTATTCCTCCCAGGCCTTTCCTGATGAGCTGGGCTGAAAGTGGACTTTGAGCTGTTCCATTATCTTGTAAAACAGCAATTAGAGGTGGAACCAGCCCCAGCCCTAAGCTCTGCTGCAGGATAGACCACACTGTCATTTTCTTCTGTCACTTTCAGTTTACTTGACAAAAAAGCCTGGAGCAGAACTTAAATGAGTTGCAAATCACAGCAGCACTTCTCAGGCTGGGTCACACAGCCTAGCGCAGCCCCGCACCAGGCCTTTCAGAACTTCTTTTATGAAATTATGCTTTCTGTGCTTTATCTGTCAAAGTCTTGAGTTCTTTCTGTAAAAAATGAGAAAGAAGAACTTCTTACTTCACAACATAAGCATAGCAGTTACAAGTTGCCATTTTCTTGCTGCTTATGGCCTGCTAAGCAATATACTGAAGACTTGTGCTGTTACTGACTTTTTCTTCCCAGCAGTTCTGTAGCCTCATGGACAGGGACCATCCCCATAAGAAGTGGGAGCTTGGGGAGGCTGGGGTTCTGCTGGGCTCTGCTGGGCTCTGCTGGGCTTGAGCACATCGAGAGCATCCTCACTACTGTGCACATGGCTTGTGGCCAGTGGCAGCATGCTTCTGAAGGAGCACGTGTGTCCTTAGCAGTCACGGCAGGCTTTGTAAGCTGCAGTCTCATCTCAGGATCCTCAGAAGTTGGAGATCCGCAGGAGTTGGTGCAGTTATCTCTATTTGCAAGTGAGGAAAACAAGTTCCCAAGAATCATGGAACTTGCCCGAAGTCACATAGCATGCATAGCTAGAACTGGGGTAAAGCTGGGTCAGTCTGGCCTTAAGAGCCATCCCTGAGCTTCTTCGTCGGGCATCAGAAGGCTGCTTAAGAGTGAGGGGTTGGTGCTAAAGTCACTACAGGTATTAAGTACAAGGTCTTAAATTTTAAATTATGATTCACTTAGTCACTATCCACCCTATATTAGACTTTATCCAAAGAAAGATGACTAACAAGGAATATGACAACTTGATTATTTTACACATATTCCTTTCATATGTAGAAAGCCAATTTGGCTTTAAAGCTCAATTCGTTATTTTATAACAGAGCTAATTTGATAATGGCAGCTGCTGGCATGCTTCTGTGACTGATTGCTTGACTGTCTCCTGAGAGCAGGCATTTCCCAGAGGAAGGCTTACAGTTCAGTTGCTGTGGATCAAATATACTGAAATAATCTGCTCTCTTGGTTCTGTAAGAACCATGCTACACATTTTGCACCATGGTCCATTAAGAAATGGTTCTATGCCAGGAGGTGGCGGCACACACCTTTAATCCAGCACTCGGCAGGCAGAGGCAGGTGGATCTCTGTGAGTTTGAGGCCAGCCTTGTCTACAAGTTCTAGGACAGCCAGGATTGTTACACAGAGAAACCCTGTCTCGAAAAAGAAAAAAAAAAATAGTTCTGCAGCAATAGGAAAGTGTCTGTCACAGGTTTAATTGTTGAACATATTTTCTAGAGCCCTGTGACCTTTTGCTCAGAAAATCCATTGACAAACCAAGAAAGATCAAGGGAAGTGGGACTGTTGAGTTGTGAGTGGAGCTGAAACATGCGGTCATTCAGAGGCTGGGGAGATAGGCTGGTGGGTAAGACAGCTGTATGAGCGCGAGGACCCGAGTGTGGATCCTGCACTCAGGTACTAAAGAGGCAGAGTCACCCTGTGTGCCTGTAGCCCCAGTGCTGGAGGTGGGGCAGAGGATCATAGGGGCTGGCAGGCCAAGATCTGGGCTCAGTAAAAAAAACCTGTCTCAAGGGAACAAGGTAGAGGTTGACAGAACAGGACACCCAGTATCTTCCTCTGGCCTTTGCATGTACAAAGCATAGGAGTGTGTGTGTGTGTGTGTGTGTGTGTGTGAGAGAGAGAGAGAGAGAGAGAGAGAGAGAGAGAGAGAGAGAGAGAGAGAGAGAGAGAGAGAGAACATAGTGCAGGTGTGTAGATACACAGAGAAGAATTCACACACACACAAAATTAACAAAAACCAAACCCACAAAGCCTAGGGACACACACTGTAACCTCAATTCAAGAGGCTAAATAAAGTAGGATTTCCCTGAGTTTGAGGCAAACTGTGCTGCAGATTGAGTACCAGGACGGCCAGGGCAGCCATAGTAAGACCTGGTCTCTACAAACAAAAGATTTTACAAGGAAAATAATCTGAAAGCACACTTTATTGTTTTGCAACCAGAGACTATAAAGTTTTCAATATTCAAATGAAGTAAATAAACAGAACGGAATATGGAACAGATAGAAAAGCATTCTGACAGTGTAAAGCGCCGGTCTGTGTCTCAGGCGGACAGGTCAGATGTTCACTACTTCCTGTATTACACCAGCCAGGCGTGAAGGGCTTTCGGCTGGCTGTGCTGGTGCACACCTGTACCCCTAGCACTTGAGAGGCTGAAGCAGAAGGATTGCCGTGAGCAGAAGGAAGGCCAGCTTGGGCTATAGAATAAGTACCAGACCAGTCCTATTTCTGAAAAGGGTTTTCAAACAGTGCAAGCAGTTGGAGGCAAAGACTATTTATTGTACGTGGACTTGCCGCTGGTAAGAGTTTCGTGGAGCAATTTGTTTGGCGAATGTTTGAGATTTAAAAAAAAAAGGAAGGGACTGTGACAAAAAGTAGTGCTAGAGACCAGCTGGGGAGGGCTTGGAGATGGGCATCCGGTAAGGCTCTCTTGCTGGCTTTCTTTCAGTGTTAGATCCATTTTGAATTGCAGTAACGGTGTCTGCTTGATTGCATGCCCCTGCAGGTGATTCTGAACTGCTGTGAGGGCAGAACACCCAAGGAGACGATAGAGAATTTGTTGCACAGAATGACTGAAGAGAAGACCCTGCCTGCCGAGAGCCTGGTAAAACTCCTCCAGGCTGTGAGAACAGCATTCCCAAACCTGGGCCTCCTGCTGGAGAATTTGCAGGCAGCAGCGGAGTCACCTGGCACTAGAGGTACTGGTTAATTATTCCTCTCTGGACAGGAGCAGCTTGTACAGACAATCACGGGGTAAAGCTCCCTCCTGTCTCCATGCTGGGAAGTGGAGCTCTGTGGAGCGGTGGCGTTGCATTGTGAAGCGAGCTCTGTCAGATCAGCTGGGATCTGAGACTCTTCTCCATTTAGGTCCCTCCTATCATCTCTGTGGTTCAGGCTTATTAATGGACGCTCTTCCCACAGGGCTGGCCAGGGTCACCTGTGAGACTGAACAGACAGAGGGGCCCAGAAGGCTGTGCATTCCAACAGACTGTGTGGATGGATGTGAGTGGCAAATTCAAATCCTGCTTGCCCCCTTCCCAGCTGTGTACTACAGTCCCTAGGTCGCCCCTTTGGTGTCCCTCAGCTTGGGGGAGGGAGCCCGTTTCCCTTCTTAACCCAACTGGAATTACTTTGCCTATGTAGTTGTGTAATAATTATATTACACACACAAATCAGGGTTCCCAGAAATGAAGAAAATAAGCTTGTGTTCTACTCCCCAGTCCTTCACTGTTGGCGCTGTGTGCTCACGGTCATTGATTACCTTATTTTTTTCAGTTGTGTGATTGCCCCTGGTTAGCAATATCAAAACATTCTCTTGCATTTCCAAGAACTCCAATCTTTTTGAAGGTTATATAGTTTTCTATCACACAGATATGCACTGTATGTTACACGTGTCCTGATTTGGGCAGATGTGGTGTGATGGGAAGCCTGAAAGCCGTGGTGCCATCCCTGGCCGTTTGACCTTGAGCTTGCAGTTTCCCTTTATGAACCGTATTGTCCCTGGGGTGGGTGTAAGGACTGTACCATTGCATTCATTTCTGTGGCTGTTGTGAGATGACACCCACTAAACATTTAGTGACGTGCCTGGCACATGGTGGGCTCAGCAGATATTAGGGCTGTCCTCACAGTGTCATCACGTGGCTCTGCAGCGGCCATGGCTCTTAGCCTTCGGGGTTTTTTTTGTTTGTTTGTTTAGGCTTAGTTTCAAGAAGTGGATTTACTGGGTCAAAGAGGAAATAAAAACATAACTATTTATAAATCAAGGGATCTAGTTTTGTGCAGATTGCTTGTATTTTCTTTACCTTTAAGGAAATATGACTTAAGAAGTAGCTAACAGATGGGCACAGGGGGCATCTGAACAGAACGGCATGCCTCTTCCTGGGTACGGCCTGGACTGGTGGCTGATGGTATCTGGGATCACCACATGGGTCCTTTACCCCAGGCATTGTGAGGAAGACCCCCTGATCTGTACATCAGAGCCTCTCACAGTGCAGCCTTCTCATTACCCACCTGCTGGGCAGTCCCTGGCTTCTACCAGGCTCTCGTCTGTTTCCGTGACCCTGAAGCACAGGTGTCGACCAGAGGAGACTCAGATGCTGTATATGTGGCCAGGGGCTAGCCATGAGACTCTACTCTGAGGCAGAAATGGCTCTCAGCTGTTCCCCTCACTTGCGTCTGTGGCCCTTGTTGTCTGTAGAAGCCCTTGGCTGCTTGTGGAGCCTCAGGCCTTATTGTGCTGCTGTCCTTCCAGCCCACCCTAGCCCTGAGGACTACGGAGCTGAGCTGTTGAGAAAGTACCATGAAAACCTGTCTGAGGTTCTCACGGACAACCAGGTGCTGCTAAAAGTGATCTCACGTGCGAGGAGCTTGGCCCCTGGAGAGAGAGAGGTGAGCAGGAGGGAGGGAAATATGGCTATGTATACACACATTTACATTTTCTATAAATACATATACACCGCCAAGTTGAGAAATGCCAAGAAGGAGACTAGAAGGTGACTCATTTTCTAAGGGTAAATGCCAAATAGAATAATTGCAGTTTCCTTTTTTACAGTTTTATTTATTTAGTTTGTAGACTGGACAACTTGCAGGAGTCAGTTCCCTCCTGTCAGGTGAGTTCTAGGGATCAAACTGAGGTCATTAGACTTGGTGGCCAGTGCCAGTACTCCCTCAGCCATCTCACTGGCCTAACTAGTTGTATTTCACTGCATGGTTCTGTAGTAATAAAGAAAAGCCTTCACGAGAAAGAACAAAGAACTTTGTCACAAATTAGAACTCTGTCAGTAGCCAGCTTTGGTGTACATGCCTATAATCCCCATTGCCAGGGAGAAGAGTGTTCTGAGTTCAAGGCCAGCCTGGCGTGCACAGTGAAATCCTGCCTAAAAAACAAACCAGAGAGAGAGATGCTTTCAGCTAAGATTATTTTGTGTGTGTATATATTAGAAGCCACACCTAGAGCATCATAAGCTTTCTATTACTAGGCTGTGTCCCTGACTCTACTCCACCTGCTTACACAAAAAGTAAATTTGATGTAAAAAGCCCCCGAGGTTGAGGAGGTTGAAAAGGTCTCCACTCCGGAACACGTTCACCTGAACCCAGTACTGATACATAACTGTTTTGCCACCAGCTCAGGACCAGAGTCTTACGCCCATGTTTATGTTGCATCTTGAAGGTTATGGAGACACTCGTGAAACAGGACTCTGGCTCAGGTGGCTTCAGTTCCCTGATGTCAGCTGCTCTGGAAAGGCAGACTCTCTCTGCAACAGCCATTTGGCAGCTGCTGCTAGTGGCTCAAGAGACCCAGACCTGCCCACTGAACCTTCTCTTGGAGGAAGTAGGAAAGGAGCCTGGCGCTGGGGCTTTCTTCCGGGCAGGTGAGTTGTCTGCCCTGTCTTGATGTTGCCCCTGTAGAGATAACTGTCGACCACCAGGAAATCAGAGGACTCTCTTACGGTTGCCATCTGTGTCCCTCCCCTCAGGAGCAGTGGCAGGTAAATTCCCTGTTCTCCTACATAGTGGGTGACCATAGGTGACCAAGGTGCTGTGTTTGAGGAAAGCAAGAAGAAAAGATTTTCAGTGTGTTCAGAAAAGTGGCGTTTGAGAAGCTAGGTAGTGAATTCTGGTTCAAACATGGCACAGCATCCACACACAGAAACATCAGGTGGTAAAAGCTCACAAAGGCTTATGTGTTAAAGGAAATTGTGTCTGGGGATATGGGTGCTGACAAGCCCTTATTCATTATGCCCTGGCTACAGTGGCTAACATGTATTGTCTTTGTTAGACATGTATTGTCTTTGTGAAGAGTGGAATTGAGAGGTGAAGGAGAAAATGATGCCCATGGTTTGGCTGAGTGTTCAAGTCTCCCTTTTTTTCAGTGACTGCCCCAGAGAGCACTGTGTTGGAAATAATCCTGAGGCATAGCAAGCTGGTCACAGAGGCCATCCAGCAGACGATGGAGCTCAAGCACTTTTCTCCAGAGGATGAGGCCCTGGCTGAGATTGTGAAAGAGGTGGGGAGTGGAGGGAGTGGATGACAGTTTGTGGATCACCAGATTCTGTAGAACTTTATAGGAAGATGCCCTGGAGCCATCTCCATTCTCTGCGGTATACTGTAATTACCACAGTATACCGTAATTACTACAGAATACCGTAATTACTGCCTGCCTAGTGCTCCATTGGCTCTTCAGAACACCATACCAGGCTTTTTTAGGGGCCACCAACCAGTTCCCAAATCGTGACATGGAGACTTATTATTAGTTATGAATGCTCGGTGTGGCTTAGTCATGTTTTTGGCTATCTCCTTTATCTTAACCTGTTTCTCTTTACCTTTTGCCTCGAGGCTTTCTACCTTTCTTTCTGTATTTCCTGTGCCTGCTGGCTGTCTGGCCCCAGGTGGCTCCCTCATTTCTCCCTTGTTGTCTTCTCTTTCTCCTCTTGCCTAGATTTCTCCTATTTATTCTTTCTGCCTGCCATCCCTGCCTATCTCCTGCTTAGCTATTAGCTGTTCAGCTTTTTATTAGACCAATCAGGTGCCTTAGGCAGGCAAGGTGAAACAAATTCAACCTATCTTTACATAATTAAACAGATGCAGCATAAACAAATGTAACACCACACCTTCACACAGTTAAAGAAATGCACAGCATAAACAAATGTAGCACATCTTTGCCTACTTAAAATAATATTCCACAACAGAACACCTTTGTTCTTTAGCTTTCCAGCCGTAAGTGGCAAGTGATGTCCTCTCCCTTTATAGAAGAGTTCAGACTTCACAGTTGTTTCCAGTGTAGGAAACTGGTGAGTGAGTGGGGAAGCCAGTGACACAGCCCCAGCGAACACATCTTCCAACTGCCTAAGCTCAGAGTAGCTGGAGAAATGGTGACTCTTTATAACCATGTTCTCAGAAGCAGCTGGTCTCAGATGAAGGAAGTTAGTCTTACTGCATGTTTTCTTCTGGCTTCCTGAAAGAGCCAAGATAAACAGAAAAAAGCTTTGCCCATATGAGGCAACAAATAGTGCCAGCTCGTTTTCTGTGCGGCATCTCACAATGGGACCAGCATCCCAGAAAATCTAGATGGGGGCTGAGGAAGACTCTCAGAGATGCCCAAACTTGGCCTTGTACATCTCCAACAGGGAAGGATAAATAAAGGAACATAAAATTAAATCACAGATGTACCTGGAGTGACCTTTTGATCCATGCAGACAGAAGGGCAGGCTCCTAACCATCCCCGCTGGTGACAGCCCCGCCTCAGTCTGCCTCTCAGACAGGAAGAAGGCGGTGCAGGCCCCTGCAGCACTCCAGAGGCAAGGCTCATCTGCCCGTCTCTCTCCAGAGTGCTGTGCACTTCAGAGCTGAGGCCTGTGCATTGATCGCTTTAGCCTCACTAATTAGTCTCCTGCCTGCCTTCGGGGGCATCAGGGTTATTTAGATAGACCTGAAAAGAGCATAAAGGAAATCTCTTCCAAAATGAAAGTTCCATGTGGCCATCTGTGGATGGTCTCACTTTATTTTCTCAGTGTGCTCTCTGCCCATAGCTCTAACATTCTGAAAGAGGACAGCTTTGAAATCATATTCCTGGCCTCTTTAAAGCCCCTATTTGAACCGGCTTTAAAACGCTGAGTTTCAATGATGTTTAAAAGGGTACATCTAAGTGTCTAAAAATATGAAGCCACTCTCTATGCAGAATTACTTCTAGACATGGAGGCAATTATATATTATGAAAAATTATCCTGATCTCTACAGAAGCAGCCGCTGCCAAATGCTATAGCCCACCCCCACCATGCTCAGATCCAGAATCTTATACTCTCCCCCACCTTCTAGACTCTTCTTACTGCCCCCCCCCAACTTCCTGTGCTTAGTTCTAGAAAGACTCCTTGAGGTGCCAGGTGCTAAGAAGACAGTCCTACAGAAAACACCAGTGCCCCCATTTGTTCTCTCTGTTTGCACGTCTGTCTTGATATGTGCTTTCCTGGTTTGCATTTTGCTAATTTTCTTGTCCTTTGAAAAACAGGGCTCTTCGTGTGTCTCCAGGAGAAATATAAACCACCTGGAGAGCTCTGTGTCTTCTCGAATTCCATCCCCGCACACCCGTCCCCCGCCCCCGCTGTTGAAGAGCATGGAGAAAATCTGATGCTAACACAGCCCTGTCTCTGGGTTTCATTTAGATGCTGAGCATATCCTCCGAGACAGTGAGCCCTGAAGCGGCCCTGAGAGCAGTGCTGAGCAAGGACATGGAGAAATCTGTCTCAGCCCCTGCAATCTGTCGCCTCCTGTGTGGTGTCCACAAGTCTTTCCCTGGCCTGCAACCCCTCATGCAGGAGTTGGCACACGTTGGTAAGGAACAGGGGTTGGATCCTGCTAGACCCCAGGGCCCTTTCTATATTGAGTAGAAGAAACAGCGGTTGATGTAAGAGGATGCCGTGCTTCAAGATATTTATTCCTTTTACGTGCTCTTGGCGCCTACCAGCCAGGAGCGCAGGTGTGGCATGGTGCTATTTGTGTTTAGTGGGAAGTGAAGATGACAGCGGTATTACTTCTGAGTTTCCTGAGGATCCAGCTAATCCGGTCTCTCTAAGAGTGTGTTAAAAAGTAGCAAAGCATGATAGAACGAGCCCTAGAGCCACGAGTGTTCTCCTGTGCAGGGTTTCTTACCAAGGAAAATGGAGAGGAGAGGTTGACGGTGAGTGATAGGTTTCACCCTGGAGCCAAGGACAAAGAGGAGAAAGCAGCCAACGCAGCCAGCAAAGACTGCCAGCCCATGCAACAAAAGGATCAGGGGGAGCCTGGGTCCGTGCCAGAGCAACAGGAGAAAGACACTTCTGCCTCCCCGGACTCTGCCAAGAAGAGCTTCATCTGCAAAGCCTGTGACAAGAGCTTCCATTTCTACTGTCGTCTGAAGGTGCACATGAAGCGCTGCCGGGTGGCCAAGAGCAAACAGGTGCAGTGCAAGGACAGCAGTGGGACCAAGGACTCGGAGAAGGGGCTGGAGAAGCAGCAGCTGGAGACCCACAGCGTGGGTGGAGAGCCCGACGCCCCCAAGAAGAAGAAGAAGCGGCTGCCTGTGGCATGTGACCTCTGCGGAAGGGAGTTTGCCCATGCCTCAGGTATGTCAGAAGGTGGTCGTAGAGGACAGTGGCTGCAGATGGTGTAGCTTAGGTTCCAGCCTAGCCCCCTGCGTGTGCCTTTGGCACTAGGACCAGTTCATAGACACACAACGGTCTTCTGAGACCCCAAGCGTTGCTCTCCCAACTGTTAGGGAGGTCCCTCATCCCACTCTTCTGCACTGTTAGGGTGTTTGATGATAGAACTAAACACCTAGCACCACACCCACACACTGGAGATTGTAACTGTAGCCAGATGTTTGGCCTTTGGCTTGTTGGTGCCCACATAAATCCTGAAGTATTAAGTCAGAATCATTTTGCCCTGCCCCAGATGTCTGGTAAACCTAATGAACCATGAAAGTGTGAGGAATGAATGGGGAAGATCGGCTAAAAATCTCTATGCCAAATTCAACCAGGAGTGAAGCTAAGGTGACAAGGAAGCAGGGAGCGGACTAGTGGGCGTGTGAATGGTGTGGCCGGCAACAGGCTAGTGCGCTTGAGCCTGGCGAGTGCCGCTTGTTTGAACATTCTTCTGCTGTGTTCCTAACTGACTCTGGTGTCTCCTCCGGGCCTGGTACCCCTTCCTAGGCATGCAGTACCACAAGCTGACCGAGCACTTCGACGAGAAACCTTTCTCCTGTGAAGAATGTGGGGCAAAGTTTGCTGCCAACTCCACCCTAAAGAACCATCTGCGCCTCCACACTGGGGACCGCCCATTCATGTGCAAGCACTGCCTCATGACCTTCACACAGGCCTCAGCCCTGGCTTACCACACCAAGAAGAAGCACTCAGAAGGTGAGGGGCACCCTTCCTTTCCCTGCACAGTGCCACTGTGGGAGCTGAAACCCACTTGACTTTAGGCAGCACAGTAGTTGGGGAAGTAAAGGCAGAAGTAAGCATGTATGCACAGGCTGTAGAAAGCTTTCTGGGAGGGCTTCTGAGGAGTCGGCTAGAGCAGTATTGGGACTTTGTGGTCAGAATTTACGTGCAGCCGGGAATCGTTTCACTTGTCATAGAGTTGAAGCAAGAGAAAGGGCTGGTGGAGTACTTCTGTGGCAGGGCCATGCTAAGTTCCAGGTGACTAGCCTGGGATCCTTGTGCCCTTTCACCTGCTGGCCTGAGGGCTGGGGGCGCGGGGGGGGGGGGGAGAGGTTAGAGACGGGTGGAATATATCAGTGCATCACAAGGTAGCATCCCAGGATGGTGGAGGAGACCATGGTGGGGACATGAGCAGTCAAGAAGAGCTCAGCTCCTACATGTGAGTAGCCGTGCCTCCATCACTTTATCTGGATGGTTTCAGTGTCCTCGCAGCCTCTCTGTCTCAGCATTCGCTCTTTACATTTAACACTAAACCTTGGCAGACCACGCCTCTGCTCCACACTGCAGAGGCTTTTTATCTGCAGTGGAATCTGAGTTCTGATAGCCTGCTAGGCCTACAGATGCCACACTGCCTTCTGCTCTCAGCACCTCGTGCACTCACACTCACTCTTCCGAGGACTTCTGTGCTTGTCACCTTTCTTGGGGCCCCTCCCTTCAGAGGTGTCTGCTCCTCTTCCCTCCTCTAGACATACCTTCTTTGGCCTCCTTAGTGGAAACTGCCTCAGCCTGTTTTTACTTTTCTCCACATGCTTACTGCGTTGAGAACCATGCACCATAATTCAATCACCCTAGTGCCCCATTAGAGTACAGGCTCTGTGGTGACAGATTTGCTAGTCTTTCAGGAGAACTTAGAAAAGTGCATGGCAACAAAAGGCCCTCAAGGAACTCTTGTTTGTCTAGCAGTGGTGGCTCACCCTTTAATCCCAGAAGCAGAGGCAGGTGGATCCCTGAATTCAAGGACAGCCAGGGATATACAGAGAAACGTTGTCTTGAAAAACCAAACTTACAAAAAAGAAACACTTCGGTGGGTGGATTTCTTGAGTGCTGTTCCAGACATAAATGATTTGTGAACATGCTTACCCTGGTCCTGTAGCACTTAAATTTCAGTGGACAAGATAAACAGCAACTGCGGGATAGAAATGGAGAGGGTAGTCATTGCCATGGTGGAAACCAAGGCTGTGGAGCAATGGGGAAGGACAGGGCTGCCCACACCATCAGGGATGGACTCAGCCAGAGGGACATCTGGAAGAAGGGCCACACCCCTCCTCAGTGCAGATGAGTTCCAGGTGGACCACAGAGCTGGAAGCAGAATCCTGAGGGGACTGCGATAAGAGGCAGTATTCAGAGAGGGGCTGTCAAAGGCCAAGGCTTGCAGGGTTTTCTTATAGCCAAGGAAAGGACTTTGGTTTTCTCTTCTGTCCTTGTGAATTACCAAAAGTAATAGCTTGAAATAATACGTGTCATTACCACCAGGGAGCTAGAGGTTATTTTTAGAAGGGTCCTGAATGACAAAACCAAGGTTTCCTCTGGAGTAGGTTTGTCAGGAGACTCATTTCCTAGTCTGTGAAGCTTCTGGATTCTTGCTTGGTTCTGAGCCACATCACTCCAGCCTTTCTACCTCCTCCTTGGACTCTGTGTCCTCTCTCTTATCTGGAATTCCCATAGGCCACCTGGATAGGATAGTGCAGTTTCTCATCACCAGACACTTGATTCAGTCACAGCAGTGACTTATAAGGTGACAGTAACAGATTCTTGTGTAGGGTTAAGCCAGCCCATGGGGGCAGGCTTGCCTCGGGCGAGCGTTTACTTATAAATTGGAACCTTGGTTTTGTGAGTCTGATTTTTCCATTAAAGTTGTGTACAATTTGTCTGCATTAATCTAAGCTGCCACATTTGGTGCCCAAAGAACTAATGGGCCAGACAGTGTTTAAAAGAATACAGTTTCCGTATAATTATTTCGGGGCATAAGCTACAGCTAGCTGGCGGCCAGGTGGCCCGCAGCTCCTCACAACATTCTTGCTACAGAAGCCTCCGAAGAGTTTGGATCAGAGTGATGATAAGATGGGATTCACAGTGGGCACATGTGTTTGTATGCATGTGTGTGCATGTACAAAATCTTCCTCAAAGCCTGGCCAGGAAAAAAGTAAGAACAAGGCTCCAGCTGAAGTGGGGCCTAGTACTGGACTTGCTGATCTAGAACCCACTCCCCAGTGGATGCTCCCTGGCCTGGGAGGAAACTCTGGTTACATTCTCGTGCACATGGGAAAGCGAAGGAGTCAAGGGCTGTGTGCTGACTGCAGTGGGTCACTGCAAGCCCTCGTCCCCTCTGAATCCCCAGATCATCTTTGTAGTAGTGGGAATCCGTGCTAGACTTGGTTGTTAATTTGCTTTGTTCTGTTGTGAGATTAGTCTCCCATAACCTAGGTTGTGCTTTACAAGAACACCGTGTGTTTTGCAAGATCTAACTCACATTTCTGGACAGAAGGATCTATCTCTGACTGGAAGTGGAGTGTGCTCTTCCTCTCTGTAGAAACCTGATAAACAAACGGGTTCTCTTAGAGACAAGAGCTTTGTTCCCCATCCGGCTGTGCTCACCCACTGTGTGATGGGTTATGTTTGTGAGGTAGATGCGTTTGATGAGGTGCCTCAGACTTACCCAGCATTGCCTGAGGTAATGTCACCTGCCAGTGACATTTCTCTGGTGTGTGCTTTCGAGTTTGTTCTGTTTGTAGGGGTGCCATCCGTGTTCAGTGCTTGTTCTCACATGTTCGGGCGCGTTTGCAGGGAAAATGTACGCATGCCAGTACTGTGATGCTGTGTTCGCCCAATCCATCGAGCTGTCCCGGCATGTGAGGACCCACACTGGGGACAAGCCGTATGTCTGCAGGGACTGTGGAAAGGGCTTCCGGCAAGCCAATGGCCTCTCCATCCACCTGCACACCTTTCACAGTGAGTACTGCAGTCAGTGTCAGGCACCACAGGACACGTTTGGCACTGAGGAGGCCTGTGACAGTCATAACAGAGCAGTCACTGCTCTAATCAGCCTCCCATTAAGGACTTTCCCAGAGCTCCTATGTGCCCAGCATGTGAAAGGTCATTAACCCAAGGAGTTAACAAGACTGTAACTCTAGTCAAGTGGACCTCCAGACAAGACCCAGTGTCTTCTCGACCTCAGGAGATGATGATCTGCTTTAGTCCTCTTCTCACAGCAGGGGGAGAATCAGTGAAGGAGAACACTTAATCTTCAAATCTAGTCTTTCATACCCTAGAGCCCCTGCCGGCATACCCTAGAGCCCCGCTGGCATACCCTAGAGCCCCGCTGGCATCCCCTAGAGCCCCGCTGGCATACCCTAGAGCCCCGCTGGCATATCCTAGATCCCCGCTGGCATACCCTAGAGCCCCGCTGGCATATCCTAGATCCCCGCTGGCATATCCTAGAGTGTACCATTCACACAACCCTAGTATTCAGGATCACAGCATTGCTCATAGAAACTGTCAAAGAGTCTTAAAAGATAGTGTGAACCTGACATTTCCATGGGGTTAACTAGCAAAATGGTTCTCAAGGCTGCTGTCGGCAGTATTCCTGGGTTATGCAAAGTCACTGTACATACATAGGCGGAGCTATGGCTTGAACTTTCTTGTGGACAGAGGATTTTATTATCAAAATATTTTGCTTTCAGTTGCTTTAAGAAAAAGATACAATGTTTTCTGTCATCTAGATGGCAGAAATGTCCATCAGCAGTGGTTCCTATTTTTGAGGTCTTACTGAGGAGTTGGCATATCCATGGATGTATAAGTGAGACATCTTCCCAATTAGATCCTTGAGCAAGGATTGGTTGATCTCTAAACCTTGATTTTCCTAATCTTAAAATAAGACTCAAACTAGACCTCCTCTCCTGTTCTCTGAGGGAGTTAACTTGCATAAACTTCCTGAATACACCCGTCCAGTGCTCACTGGGAGTCTGTGCAAAGGCTTTACTGTTGGGTCTCAAGTTAGGACCAAAAATGTGTCCCCTTACTGCCACTGTCAGGAGACACAGTGACACTCTAGAGGGTGTGTTGGGAAGGTCTACAGGGAAGTGGTAGACAGACCTATCACTGCAGACAGGAGAAGCAAGCACGATACTGCCTGTAATGTAGCCCCATGATGGAGGGAGTTTGACATATAAGACTAGAAGCTAGTGGTGGAGGTGAGCAGTTTGACACTGAACAGATGGTGAGTCCAAAAGCCTGGAGGAGTCCTGCCTCCTCGGGAAAAGGGAGTAGAGCCAGATTGTTGCCACACTGAGTTGGGGTCCTTGGACTCTGGTGCCACAGGAAGTCTGAACAGCCTTCCATCTTGCTTGTATGTAGCAGTGGCATGTCACTGACTGCTGCTTCTGCTATTATCTTTCTCTGCCCCTCCCTCCCGTGGATGCCCTGCCTGGAAGCAGACATAGAAGATCCTTATGACTGCAAAAAATGCAAGATGAGTTTCCCCACGCTGCAGGATCACCGGAAGCACATCCATGAGGTGCACTCCAAAGAATACCACCCCTGTCCCACATGTGGGAAGATCTTCAGCGCCCCTTCCATGCTGGAGCGGCACATGGTGACCCATGTTGGAGGGAAGCCCTTCAGCTGTGGGATCTGCAACAAGGCCTACCAGGTGACCCTGGCCACCAGGAGCACACCCCTGTCTGTGCCTTACTCCCTATTGGCGTTTGTTGCCTGCAAGCTTGTCTCCAGGATGTTACAGACAATTTGACTCTGAGAAAGCATGAGCTGGGGCTGTACTCAGTGAGCACACACTTATCATCCATGAGACACATCATATGGCTTGGTTACCTTTCTTCTGTCTTATGTCTGATTTGTTCTATTGGCATCTCCCGCGTGCCTCAATTATCTCCTACTTCTTCCTCTGTCCAGAAGTCCCACCTATACCTCCTGCCAAGCTATAAGCCACTCGCTCTTTATTGAACCCAATCACAGCAATATATCTTCACACAGTGTACAAATATCCTACATTTCCCCCCTTTGTCTAACAAAAAGGAATGCTTTTAACTCTAACATAGTAAAACTAAATACAGTATTAACAATTATCCTTTAAGAATTGCATTCACAATGTCCAGTCCATTTGTATTTGGCATATTTGGAGGAAGTATTATCCATCTTATCTTGATGAATTTAAAGTTTTATACCTAAACCATCATTTTTATCATTATTTGTATTACTATCTTTAAACTATCTTTTTATACCTCAAAACATTTTCTTTTTTTTTTCTAAGATTTATTATGTATACAGTATTCTCAGTATTCTGTCTGCATGTATGCACACAGGCCAGAAGAGGGCACCAGATCTTACCACAGATGGTTGTGAGCCACCGTGTGGTTGCTGGGAATTGAACTCAGGACCTTTGGAAGAGCAGGCAGTGCTCTTAACCACTGAGCCATCTCTCTAGCCCCTCAAAACATTTTCTTAGATAAACAATTTAAGCTTTTATGTTTCTCAACCTTATAAACTTTACATCTCTTATATAAGTTTCTTCTTTGAAATTTGTAACAAGGAAAACTATATCTATCTCATCTTCAGCTCCATTAGAGAAAAGAGAAGGATATAATGTTACCTGAGTCAACAGGAAGTGCAGAGCAAACCAACTTCTAAAACTATAGAAATGACAGAAACAGCTGACTTCCTGGAGAGTCACCCAAGGTTCATCTGCAGCATTGGAACATCCATCTTTGGCCTGTAGGCCAAAATATCACAGACTTTTCTGTGAAGCAGGAAGTTTTGAAGGCCTGTCCTACCTTGTCTTGGCAAAGTTTGGCAGTCACTTTCTTTCTCATCCTTCTTGTCCAGTTTGGACAGCATTCTGTCAGCAGTCAAGGCAGGGGTAGTTTCTTTGCCCCATGACTAACTTTGCCACAAAGAAAGCAAACTCCATATGAAGGTTCTTCGATGCCCATCCTTTTTTTAAGTAAATTGTTGCTTCCGGGAGCAGATGTGTCTTACTGTCATGAAAAGCCTTATGTTATTAAAACATTTTAAATGCCATATTCTGTAGGTCTTTTGAAAGTGTTTGAAGACCATCTATCTATTTAAAATATATGTTTGACCTTGAAAACATACCTAACATGACTATAAATTTGATACCGATGACTAACTACCAACCTGTCTTTCTTTTTATACTAAATAGCTTTAAAGGACTAAAACTTTACTTTTTTCTGGGGGAGGAGGTTGGGGGGATTGAGACAGGGTTTCTCTGTTGCTTTGGAGCCTTTCCTGGAGCTAGCTCTTGTAGACCAGACTGGCCTTGAAATTATAGAGATTCACCTGCCTCTGTCTCTACCTCTGAGTACTGGAATTAAAGGTGTGTACTACCACCACCTGGCTAAAACTTTACATTTTTAAATGAGCTACATAGGTACTACACCTTAAACAAGAGTAGAACTTATACACAGTATAACAAAAATAACCTTAAATTTGTATTGATGTACAAAAATCCATACCAATGTAAAATATTTGAGACTAATTAGTGTTCAAAAGTAGACTCAACAATCCACCCTTTTGTTCCATAATTTCTATACTATATCCTTCCTTTTCTCTTCAGAAAGAGATCCCTCCTTTATTCAGTGTTTTCCCTGACCATGACCAATAACAACTTGTAACCAACCCCCCTAAAGGACGACCAACACCCATAACCATGGAATGACAGAAAACCACCCATCCCACCTCTTGGGGATGTGGGCATCTGTTATCTAGACTGCTTCTTGCTATCTGGGGAGCAGTGGCCTCTTTAAGGGACTCTGAGAAAATTGGGATAATGGTCAAGTCCTGGGAGAGCTAGCTGTGTTATTTTTGTTTTGTCTCTGTGTGATGGGAAAGTGTAGAGCTTATCTGAAGTTTTGGCTGGAACATAACCTCTACTAGCAACTTTGATGTTGATCTGGATGTAGAATTTTGAGGAAATCGTAACAGGCATTTTGCGAGGCTGGATCACCTGGGCAACTTGTCTTTATTGGTGTCTGGTCCTTTTTTTGAAAACATGTAAACTTTTAAAGGTAACATATATCATCAGTAACACAACTATGGAATTGCAGTGTGCACAAGTCAGTTAAAGATGATTTTTTTGTTTTATGTTTGTGCAGCTAAAAGACTTCTTTTAAATCTTTATAAGTTTATTTGGACTGTATAACCAAACCTCTATCCATGCCATAGGAAAGGATGACATGTAATAATAGGTCATAAGGACTCTAGCCAACAAGATTTATCACGTCTCATCCAGTCTTAGAGCTGTTCCCATAGCAGAGGGTTATACATTACCTGTCCTGTAGTCTTTTCTGTTTTTTTTTTTACTTTTATGTCTTTAGCCAAGATTTTTAGGAGGTCTCTCCCAATCAAATCTGATCTTTACTGGTTTTGAAAGAATCCCTGTAGCATGACTAATAAAAACCCATTAACCAATAAAGGCAACACATATACAGAAGGACTTCCCACACCATATCTACACCCGTGTTCTTTTCTTTCTTTAGCAACTGAGCACATTTTTATACATACTATATACATATATATATATAGTGTGTCAGTCGGCTTCAATGGAAGATCCTTATATCCCACATACTCTTGCATGAGTGAGGGCTTACTGTAGGGTCTACTAAGCTCTGCCTGTAGTAGCCTGTCCACTAACATCAGTCTCCAGGGGCATGATTCTAGATCCACGAGCTTATGTCCAAACTTTCTGTCATTGCTGGGACTTTCTAGGATCTCACATTTGCCAAATGCCTTGCAGCAATTGTCTGGTCTCTGGTACCACAATCGAACCCACCACCCAGATGTATTTGCTGCCCAGAACCATCGGTCACCCAAGTTCTCCTCGCTGCAGTGCAGCTCCTGTGACAAGACCTTTCCTAACACCATCGAACACAAGAAGCACGTCAAAGCAGAGCATGCAGGTGACACTGGTGCGGCTGAGGGTGGAGGGTCTTGAGTCATTTGTCCAGGCACTGATGATTGCCTCTGTTCTGCCCTGGCTCCCCAGAGGAGGCCACACCTACCCATCAGGAGCTGTAGTGTATGTGGCAGCAGTTCCCAAGCCCCCTAGCATAGAGCAGTGTAAGCTCCAACCAGTCCTCAGGAGCCAGCCAGCTCCTGGAAAGGGTGTAGGCTTTCATGGCAGATGGGTCCAGGTGGGAGTCTTGGCTCTAGCTCTTAGCAGCTGCATGACCTTGGCAGGTGACATCTCTTTTCTGAGTCTGTTTTCTTCTCTTCAGAATGGAAGTTATTAATACCTTCCTTGCAGGTACATTTGGGGATAATCACAGTGGCTGTCAGTTACAGAGCGTTTCCTATGCGTAGGGCACCAGCCAAGCACTCTGTATATTTTGTCATTTAATTCTCACAACCCCTTTGCATCCATCTGGAGCAGATGAGTGCTCTTTACCAGTAGGTTACCCAGATCTCTACAGGCACCGGTTCCTAACAGTCGGCAGATGCTATATGGAACGTGGGTCTTAGCCCCACCCCGCCCTGTTCTTCATCCTTTGTCTTTTCTGCCACCTCTTTCCTTTCACACTCACAGATCTGAAGTTCCACGAGTGTGACCAGTGTAAGGAGCTCTTCCCCACACCGGCTCTGCTGCAGGTTCACATCAAGTGCCAGCATTCAGGTCAGTGACCCTCCTGTATGTCCCTGAGCTGAGCTCCACCATTCGCAGCGCTAGAGCCCAGCCTGTCTTTTTACTGACTTGTGCCTGCGTTTCATCTGGAAGATGGCACACCAGTACCAACCTAACCTGAAACCATGAAAGCTTCAGGCCTGGCCCCGATACGCAGCCCTGTGTGAGAGCCATGACTGTCACTGGTGCTATATTTCATTAACTATGAACTGAACCATTTTTAAAGAAACATCCAGAAGGAATAGTGCTGCCAGTGAAGCTGTGCTTTTTCAATTATTAGAATTTGTAGGCTTTTCAAAGTAGTTTTTCCTTTTTTGTTTTTGTTATTTTTTTTTCCAAGACAAGGTTTCTCTGTATAACAGCTCTAGCTGTCCTGGAACTTGCTTTGTAGACTAGACTGGCCTCAAAGTCACAGAGATCTGCCTGCCTCTGCCCCCTGAGTGTTAGGATTAAAGGTGTGCGCCACCACCGCCAGGCAGTATTTAGTCTTAATTGATAGCGATTTTTGTCATGTCTCTTACTCAAGTACATACATAAAAAGGAAAGCATAAGAAATAAAGGAAGACTTGAGCATTATAGAGTAGCCTTTGATCCCTTTTCCAGGGTTACTCTGCCATCAGAGCATTGATATAGTGCACAAGCTATAGGGTTCCATCAAAGGACAGGAAGCCATTGGTTTGGTCCCCTGAATACCTTATAAAATTGGGCTGCTTTAGGTCCCCAGTCTTGGAATGTAGCCAGTACTTCATTTGCCTTCTCACCCTTAGACCACTGGATCCTTGAGAGGTAAAAGTGTGCCCCATCCTGTTTAGACATGCTCCCCTAGGCCACAGACTCAGCTTCAGCATGCACAGTTGAGGTCTAGTGGTCAGGTGCCATCCATCCCATTCAGAAGTCTCAAGATGTGCTTCCTGAGGCTTCTTGCCTAGCCTTTGAAGACTGCAAGTTCAGTTCCCAGCCCAGAAAACAGTGCTTCTTAGATTGAAGAAATGCTGCCCGTTGGCAGGCCGTCTGCTATTAAGTGAATAGTGGGCAAACACATACCTCAGCAGAAGCGACTTGGCCAGAGTCCACTGCAAATGGCACTGTGGCCTGAGGGCCCTAGCCTGCTCTTTGTACAGTTTCATAAGGAAGGTGTTTGAGCTTCAGGTCCCGTGAGCCCTGTCTCTACTCCCCCATCCTCACTGTGCCTCCCTCTTCCTCCCCTGCTCTGAGCCATCATCCCCTGCGGCCAGGTAATGTCTGCTGCCTCCTCCTCCAGGGTCGCAGCCATTCCGGTGCTTGTACTGTGCGGCCACTTTCCGCTTTCCTGGAGCACTGCAGCACCATGTCTCCACAGAGCACTTCAAGCAGTCAGAGAACACCTTCCCCTGCGAGCTCTGTGGTGAGCTCTTCACTTCCCAGGCCCAGCTTGATGGCCACTTGGAGTCTGAGCACCCCAAGGTAATGGGCACTGAGACCCAGGCAACCAGCTCTCAGATGGTGCAGGTGAGACTGGGGTCATTGGATGTGAACAGAGTTCCGAGGGTTCCTCTAGGACACTCACTCTCAGTATCCAGTCCCACTCTGGGCCTCTCACAGGTCCTTACACAATGCCTTCCTGATCTTAGAATCTCTGAACTGCCTATCAGACTACAGGAAATTCTAGTCTGCTGTGGCCCCTAGGTGCAGGGAGCCTGGAACAGGAATTTGCCGGGTGGAACCACAGTTTCTCCTTCCAGCTCACAAATTCCCCACCTTCTGAAAGGCACTGCAGGATCTGGAGGGCCATCAGGAAACCCTGGAGAAGACTGCTGTGTTCTACGGGCAAGGCCCGTGGGTAGACCTGGCTGGATACAGTACGCATTTGTGTAAGCCTGTGCCTCACTCACATGATGAGAAGGCTAAGCTTGGCCGGCCTGCTTCCCTGCTGCTTTCTGCTCTGGCATCTTCTCCAGAGGCGGCAGAAAGGAAAAGAAACTGACTTCTGGCGGCTGTCCGTGGTTCCTAGAGAAGCTGGGGTAGGGACTGTATACTGATGGAGGTGTCTTTGTCCAGCTGTCACACTGTCCAGGTGTAAGCCAGTCTTGTTTTGCAGCCTCTGGAGAGCAGGGCAGGATTCCAGGTGAGGTTCCCGTTGTCATCCCACCTTGAGCTACTCTGCCTCAGTCTTGCCTAGAAACAAGGCTTCTAGACGAGGTGTCCTGCAGGTGGGAGAGGACTCCACTCCTGAAAGAAAGGAAGGCCGTTTACCTACAGCAGTATCCTGAATCAGATACCTGGTGACTGGCCACCACAGTTATCCCACAACCATGCCACACAGCTGAGTCCACCTTCCTCCCCAGTGCCCATTCTCCAGCCCTGGCTGGTCCTCCAGAGCCAGGTGGCTATGCCCTTTGGACACACTGCCTTAGAAATGTCAAGGGATCAAACTGTCGGAAGTAATAGCTTGGAGGTGCAGCAGGAACCCCAGAAGAGCTGGGAAGGCCTTTGTTAGCAGAGTGTGCAGGTTTGCAGGGGCAGCTTTAGCCTGTGGAGAGGACAGGAGCCTATGCCTGCCCTACCAGCCACTGGGCCAAGTGACTGAAGAGAGTTGGAGCAGCCATAGTTGAGCTACTTTCTCACCGAGAAGGTGTTCAGCCTCAGAGGGGCCCGAGCTCTTGGTAAAGCACTCCTGTTTCCTTGGAGCCCTTGCACGGCACTTACTCAGCATGCCATTCCTGAGACAGAAGAAGCCAGTGCAAGCTGCTGCACCAGTGTTCGCTGGGGTGTAATCACAGAGTCCATGCACCCCGAGGTGGCGTACTGAGCAAAATTATAGCAATTTAGTGCGCAGAGTTATTTAAATTGTCTGCCTGCCGCTCTTTTGCATCGCTGGTGTGTGAAACTTCCCTCTTCCCATTAGGTGTAAGTAATTGCTCTCCTCAGGTGAAAACATAAATATCATCATTACGGCATGAGACAGGAGCCATGTAAATTCTGGGGAGCTCACTGTGGACACTGCCCGGAGCAGCCTTCCTGTCTTTCCTTTCAGGTGATCCAAGCTCCAGAGCCAGCAGCCCCAGCTGAGCAGGTGATCACGTTAGAGGAGACGCAACTTGCTGGCTCACAGGTGTTTGTGACCTTGCCAGATTCACAGGCTTCTCAGAGCAGCTCTGAGCTTGTGGCAGTGACAGTGGAGGATCTGCTGGATGGTACTGTCACTCTGATATGTGGTGAGGCCAAGTGAATGGCTGCTCCTTCAATAGCGGGGGACTGGACTGGACCACAGAGGAAGCTCACAGCCTGCCTGCCTCTGCTCTAGCTGCTGTCCCAAGTGGTGAGCTGTTGGACTCAGCTCCACCCTGGTGCTCTCCCTTGGAAGTCAGAGGCTTCGTCATTGTCCTAGGACACAGTGTCTGAGCCATCCTCTCTGACGCCAGCACTACCGCCTTCGTGGCAGACAGCCTCAATTCTCCAGGCTGCAGCTCAGGCCTAGATTCCACCGACCCCCCCAGGGAAGTCTGGCTTCTGAAATGACAGTCTGAAGAGTAGTGGATGGGAACTGGTGGCCAAGGTGGCCGAGGAGATACAGCGTGCTGAGTAGCCTCAAGAGCAGGGGAGTTACCTGCGTCTGAGCCCACAGAGGGCCTGCAAACACTGCCAGTGCCTCTGCACTAAAGCACCAACAGCCTCCAGGGATGTCAGCTCAGCAGCTTGCCCTTCCCACTTCCCCCATCATCTCCTCGGCTCAGGTGCCCCTCAGAGCTTGGCTGTAAAGCAGGTGCCAATGTTAACAACACAGGAAGCTCTTGTTGCCATTCCGGATCCCTCCAGCTCTGACCTTCCCAAAACAAAGCTTTGGAGCATTGCTGTGGGAGGCACCTTCGCTGAGGCCATCCAGCTGCGCCTGCTTTTTTGGATGTTCTTTGTTGCATTCCTTATGGAGAGCGACCCTGTGATCACAGGCCTTCCATTCCTTCCAGTAATCAAGGCTGAAACCTTTCCTCATCCTGGAGACCTCTTGCTGGCTTCCTCTGGAGCATGTGATAAAATGACCCAGCTCCTGGGGGCAGGCCTGTGCCTGCATGTGGGGGATGAGAAGTATCCGAGGTGGCCTCTGTCTCTGCCACTGGCCCACCTGCCTGGTGCATGACCTGCTCTCTGGGCTCCCCCTGGCTGCATGTTCACTGCAGATTGGTGCTCCATTCAAGTCTGAGCGTCACAGAGCCTTTTATCTTTAGATCCTGAGATACAATCTGGTAATTGATGGCTCATGGAATCCGGTTGGAAGTGCAATTAGATGGATGTTGGTTCCTGCTGCTTACAGAGAAGGTTTGCATTTATCTTCCTTTCCTGGAAGCCCAAAGATAGAAGTGGGGCTATCACAGCTTTTGCCCATCAGGCAGGACTCCCTGCCACCTAGTGTGGCTTGACTCCCTACACAGGGGAAATGCCCTGATTTGGTCACTGGCCTTTAAGCCACCTGCTATCGGAGATAAGCCCGCACAAGTGCAACTCACATGACCATGTGCAGAGATGAAGGTCAAGTCTTGTTATGGTGTAGGTGCATTGCCACCATCCCTGCACCTGGCTCACTGCGGAGGCCAAGAGGTAGCGATTTAACCTGCAGCAGTGTGCAGTGCCACCATCCCTGCACCTGGCTCACTGCGGAGGCCAAGAGGTAGCGATTTAACCTGCAGCAGTGTTCAGTGCCACCATCCTTGCACCTGGCTCACTGCGGAGGCCAAGAGGTAGCGATTTAACCTGCAGCAGTGTGCAGTGCCACCATCCCTGCACCTGGCTCACTGTGGAGGACAGGACGTAGCAGTTTAACCTACAGCAGTCAGTGTTTCAAGGGCTGCCCCTACACTGGGCACGGGCAGCCCTGGTGAGTTTCCAAGCTGAATTCCAGCTCTGGCCAGCCTGTCAAGCCCACCCTCATTGTATATGCAGGCTGCTTGAATTTATTTGCTAAGGAATCTTTCCCCTTCTAAAGTAAATGTTTTGCAAAGCCATTCAGCCTCAGAAACCAAACACTGACCAGAAGATGGTGCTCAAACATCAAGACATTACCTCCCTGAAAGCTCAGTGTTCCCACACTGCGGCCCTGGCCTGCTGGCTTTCAGACCCGTGGCAGCCGACCAGGGGAGCTCTTGATCTGTAAGTGGTGTGCCGGTCCCTCCACATCAGTAACCCACTGAAAGACAGTGGGTGGCACATGCTTCCAGCCTGTCAGGAACAGCAGTTCAAAATAATACATCCTGAGATCCTATGAGGGGAGGTCAGCCTGAATACACAGAGCCGGAAGTTAGAGGCCTAAGTGCCAGGCCCTTCCCGGCCTGACAAAGCCAATCTCGGGTTTCCTGGGGACCCAGGTGATGCTCAGGCACACGCTCCCTTCAGTCATCAGATGTGTCTGCTGCAGAGAGCCGTAGGGCAGGTAGGCTTGCTGCCCATCCTTGGGTGCACAGCTCTGGTGCACATAACCGCAGCGCTAGATCTCACCTATCCTCAGCAAGTTCTGTTCTGGTGACTGGTGGCCTCTGCTTCAGCTGCCTGACTTTTTATAGTGACTCCGAAGAAGCCTGGGGAAGGTCTGCCGCTGCTGCCCCAAAGACCTGAACTACCGCAGAGGGCATTGTTAATGGGCCTCTTTGTCCACATTGCTTTTACAATGGAAGTGTGGTTCCATTTGCTTCCTCCCCATGAATATGTCTGCCTGGCCCTTGGGCAGCAGCCAGAGGAGTCTCCGGGTTCCTTGGGATTTGTATATTTGAGCCATGGGGCACCAGTCCTCCCCAGGGCTCCTGAGTCAGCCACTGAAGAGGAGAAGGCAGATAGATGCCAAGCTGGAGTCTGGTTGGTCCGTCACCAGTGCATGGACAGCAAGCAGGTGACTGAGGAGCAGAGACCACTGTGAGCATTTTGGCCAATGCAACAACAGACAAAGGTCTTTCTCAACTATTTTATAAACTGACTCTTCTGTCTCCAAAGCTCTTTATTGGAAAAGCTCTGAGTTCAGTCAGTACCCAAGTCTGTGGCCTAAGCTCTAGGCCTGTGTGCTGTGCTGCCCAGTCAAAGGAAGCCTCTGGCCCCTGGTGACCACAGGGGTGATACCTCAGCCTTGTTCCTAGAGTCTGAGCCCCAATGGTCAGGGCTGAGGAATCAGATGAGGGATAGACATGCCAAATAAGGGGAAAAGATCTCTATTCTCTTGGGGATGGGAGGATCTGTCTTTAAATCTCATGTGCCTGAGAACCTGTACTGACAAAGGATGGAGATACTGACATGACAGCCTCACTTAGAATAGGCAAGTGCTTCTAAGGGACAGGAGTATTTCTTGTGGAGCTAGAAAGTTGGCCAGTGGTGGCTATGACACTGGTTTGCTCCAGTGAGCTCTCCCAGCCTAGCCCTGTGCTGCAGCGCCCTGTGTATCCCATCAGGTACTGGGAGCCTGGAAGAAAAGTGAAAGACATGGGGCCAAGGAAGTCAGAGGCAGGTTAATAGTTTTGTTGCTATGGAAACTCTGGGGGCACTGAGGACTTATGCTAAAAACTCAGAAAGAAACTCAAACTTATTCCAGTCTAACTGGGCCTATGAAGAAAGAGAGCAGTGCATTCTTTGGGGACTATGTTGAGGAAATCATTCCTTGGGCTAATTTACATGGCCTCCAAGTTGTGACAATGGTCATGGTTTCCCTGAGCAAAGCCACCCATGACCAGGACAACCAGCCCCATGAGATGTGTAAACTGGATGGCAAACATCTCCACTCAACATGCACTGTGCTTACAAATAAAGTCTGTACTTTGGAAACAGTTGTGATATGTTATTTCAGGACACTGGTGTTGTAGACCCTTTTGCTTTTTGGTTCTGGGCAAAGAAAGGGCTTGGTGTCCCTGGACCATTGTGCACCGTCAGGCCACGTTTGGCCTGGGGGATAACTCCCATCACGCAATTTCATCCTAATTTCTCTTTCGAAAGCAGCACATTTCAGAGCATGGAATCCGGGGGACACCCGAGTTGCCCTGCAGTATCCTACTGGAGGGGCGAGGGGACACCTGCTCAGCTCCTTCCTAGGCTCTTAACAGTAAGGGGAATGGTGGCTATAAAATCTGCATTTACTGAGTTTAGTGTGGAAGGTTTACACGCAGGCCAGCCTCCTGTGTTCTCTAATACGAGGAGAATCTTTTCTTCCTCCTCTGTCTCCCCCTTCCTGAATCCCCTGAGACCCCTTACAACATCCACCACTTTTCATTTATGTATTGATCTCAGTGGCTCCTAAGTGTGCAATAGATAAGCAGAAACAAAGATGTCACGTTGCTGTCAGCTGACGAAGGACAAGAGGTGGTGCTAGGAGGACCAGAGTTGAGAGGAGGCTGTAGCGCACCACACCCATCTGCGCTACCATACAGTTGTGAACCGGGCAAGGGACTGGAGGTCTGGAGATTTAAACACAAAGACTCACAGCAACACTGGTCATCCTTGAAACAGGAATGCCCCCTTTATTATGTCCAGGGGCAGCTTATATAAGGATCCTTAACTGATAGCCAAGCCCCAGCCAAACCCACCAGAAACCACTCCCCTGCCATCAGGAACTCCTGAGGATCTCGTGCTCAAAGCAGCTGCAAACATTACAAGTTGTTTACCAGAAATTCAGGATCTGGGGGGTTCACAGCTCCCAACAGAAGCCTGCTGCATCTTCAAGCTGAACTCAGCTGGGAAGACAGCAGGGTGGGGGGGAGGGGGGCTCACTTCTGGGATGATCTTGGGGCACAAAGGTGTATGTTTTCAGAACTCGCAGACACCCTGCTGTCCACGTGAGGTTTTCACAGACTAAAGCTGTCCAGGTCTCATCTGGACCAGTAGTCTTGAGTGTCTGTACTGCTGTGAGATCTAACTGAAGCATGCCCTTGGGCCCTGGAGGGAGGGGAATATAGGGTCTGGGATGGTGTGAACAGAGGTGGGAAATGGGCTGAGGGATCCCTGGTGAGCCCGGATGAGGGGAGCTGGCTGGGGGAGGCAGAACAAGATAGAGGGGAGGGATGGGTGTGGGAGCCCCCTCTCTCTTAGTGAGAAGATGACCTTGGACAAGCCTTTCCTAGAATGACAGAACAGTTATTAACATCTTAAAGTACCTGAGTGCAGAGGCTCCTGTTAGTTGCTGCTGTCTGACAGGCTCAAGGGGAATGAACGAGGACCAAGAAGGACTAGAGAGGAGCAGAGGGAAGCCAGGAACAAGGGCCTCTA